AGCCAGGTGTGCTTGAAGAACCAGGTGTACTTGATGAACCAGGTGTGCTTGTTGATGGTGGTGTACTAGATGAGCCTGGTGTGCTTGAAGATGCAGGTGTGGTTGAAGTGCCTGGAGTACTTGATGAAACGGGTGTGCTTGTTGATTGTGGTGTACTTGGTGTGACTGACGAACCAGGTGTGCTTGATGATCCTGGTGTACTTGATGAGCCTGGTGTACTAGATGATCCTGGTGTGCTTGATGATCCTGGTGTACTAGATGAGCCAGGTGTGCTTGAAGAACCAGGTGTACTTGATGAACCAGGTGTGCTTGTTGATGGTGGTGTACTAGATGAGCCTGGTGTGCTTGAAGATGCAGGTGTGGTTGAAGTGCCTGGAGTACTTGATGAAACGGGTGTGCTTGTTGATTGTGGTGTACTTGGTGTGACTGACGAACCAGGTGTGCTTGATGATCCTGGTGTACTTGATGAGCCTGGTGTACTAGATGATCCTGGTGTGCTTGATGATCCTGGTGTACTAGATGAGCCAGGTGTGCTTGAAGAACCAGGTGTACTTGATGAACCAGGTGTGCTTGTTGATGGTGGTGTACTAGATGAGCCTGGTGTGCTTGAAGATGCAGGTGTGGTTGAAGTGCCTGGAGTACTTGATGAAACGGGTGTGCTTGTTGATTGTGGTGTACTTGGTGTGACTGACGAACCAGGTGTGCTTGATGATCCTGGTGTACTTGATGAGCCTGGTGTACTAGATGATCCTGGTGTGCTTGATGATCCTGGTGTACTAGATGAGCCAGGTGTGCTTGAAGAACCAGGTGTACTTGATGAACCAGGTGTGCTTGTTGATGGTGGTGTACTAGATGAGCCTGGTGTGCTTGAAGATGCAGGTGTGGTTGAAGTGCCTGGAGTACTTGATGAAACGGGTGTGCTTGTTGATTGTGGTGTACTTGGTGTGACTGACGAACCAGGTGTGCTTGATGATCCTGGTGTACTTGATGAGCCTGGTGTACTAGATGATCCTGGTGTGCTTGATGATCCTGGTGTACTAGATGAGCCAGGTGTGCTTGAAGAACCAGGTGTACTTGATGAACCAGGTGTGCTTGTTGATGGTGGTGTACTAGATGAGCCTGGTGTGCTTGAAGATGCAGGTGTGGTTGAAGTGCCTGGAGTACTTGATGAAACGGGTGTGCTTGTTGATTGTGGTGTACTTGGTGTGACTGACGAACCAGGTGTGCTTGATGATCCTGGTGTACTTGATGAGCCTGGTGTACTAGATGATCCTGGTGTGCTTGATGATCCTGGTGTACTAGATGAGCCAGGTGTGCTTGAAGAACCAGGTGTACTTGATGAACCAGGTGTGCTTGTTGATGGTGGTGTACTAGATGAGCCTGGTGTGCTTGAAGATGCAGGTGTGGTTGAAGTGCCTGGAGTACTTGATGAAACGGGTGTGCTTGTTGATTGTGGTGTACTTGGTGTGACTGACGAACCAGGTGTGCTTGATGATCCTGGTGTACTTGATGAGCCTGGTGTACTAGATGATCCTGGTGTGCTTGATGATCCTGGTGTACTAGATGAGCCAGGTGTGCTTGAAGAACCAGGTGTACTTGATGAACCAGGTGTGCTTGTTGATGGTGGTGTACTAGATGAGCCTGGTGTGCTTGAAGATGCAGGTGTGGTTGAAGTGCCTGGAGTACTTGATGAAACGGGTGTGCTTGTTGATTGTGGTGTACTTGGTGTGACTGACGAACCAGGTGTGCTTGATGATCCTGGTGTACTTGATGAGCCTGGTGTACTAGATGATCCTGGTGTGCTTGATGATCCTGGTGTACTAGATGAGCCAGGTGTGCTTGAAGAACCAGGTGTACTTGATGAACCAGGTGTGCTTGTTGATGGTGGTGTACTAGATGAGCCTGGTGTGCTTGAAGATGCAGGTGTGGTTGAAGTGCCTGGAGTACTTGATGAAACGGGTGTGCTTGTTGATTGTGGTGTACTTGGTGTGACTGACGAACCAGGTGTGCTTGATGATCCTGGTGTACTTGATGAGCCTGGTGTACTAGATGATCCTGGTGTGCTTGATGATCCTGGTGTACTAGATGAGCCAGGTGTGCTTGAAGAACCAGGTGTACTTGATGAACCAGGTGTGCTTGTTGATGGTGGTGTACTAGATGAGCCTGGTGTGCTTGAAGATGCAGGTGTGGTTGAAGTGCCTGGAGTACTTGATGAAACGGGTGTGCTTGTTGATTGTGGTGTACTTGGTGTGACTGACGAACCAGGTGTGCTTGATGATCCTGGTGTACTTGATGAGCCTGGTGTACTAGATGATCCTGGTGTGCTTGATGATCCTGGTGTACTAGATGAGCCAGGTGTGCTTGAAGAACCAGGTGTACTTGATGAACCAGGTGTGCTTGTTGATGGTGGTGTACTAGATGAGCCTGGTGTGCTCGAAGATGCAGGTGTGGTTGAAGTGCCTGGAGTACTTGATGAAACGGGTGTGCTTGTTGATTGTGGTGTACTTGGTGTGACTGACGAACCAGGTGTGCTTGATGATCCTGGTGTACTTGATGAGCCTGGTGTACTAGATGATCCTGGTGTGCTTGATGATCCTGGTGTACTAGATGAGCCAGGTGTGCTTGAAGAACCAGGTGTACTTGATGAACCAGGTGTGCTTGTTGATGGTGGTGTACTAGATGAGCCTGGTGTGCTTGAAGATGCAGGTGTGGTTGAAGTGCCTGGAGTACTTGATGAAACGGGTGTGCTTGTTGATTGTGGTGTACTTGGTGTGACTGACGAACCAGGTGTGCTTGATGATCCTGGTGTACTTGATGAGCCTGGTGTACTAGATGATCCTGATGTGCTTGATGATCCTGGTGTACTAGATGAGCCAGGTGTGCTTGAAGAACCAGGTGTACTTGATGAACCAGGTGTGCTTGTTGATGGTGGTGTACTAGATGAGCCTGGTGTGCTTGAAGATGCAGGTGTGGTTGAAGTGCCTGGAGTACTTGATGAAACGGGTGTGCTTGTTGATTGTGGTGTACTTGGTGTGACTGACGAACCAGGTGTGCTTGATGATCCTGGTGTACTTGATGAGCCTGGTGTACTAGATGATCCTGGTGTGCTTGATGATCCTGGTGTACTAGATGAGCCAGGTGTGCTTGAAGAACCAGGTGTACTTGATGAACCAGGTGTGCTTGTTGATGGTGGTGTACTAGATGAGCCTGGTGTGCTTGAAGATGCAGGTGTGGTTGAAGTGCCTGGAGTACTTGATGAAACGGGTGTGCTTGTTGATTGTGGTGTACTTGGTGTGACTGACGAACCAGGTGTGCTTGATGATCCTGGTGTACTTGATGAGCCTGGTGTACTAGATGATCCTGGTGTGCTTGATGATCCTGGTGTACTAGATGAGCCAGGTGTGCTTGAAGAACCAGGTGTACTTGATGAACCAGGTGTGCTTGTTGATGGTGGTGTACTAGATGAGCCTGGTGTGCTTGAAGATGCTGGTGTGGTTGAAGTGCCTGGAGTACTTGATGAAACGGGTGTGCTTGTTGATTGTGGTGTACTTGGTGTGACTGACGAACCAGGTGTGCTTGATGATCCTGGTGTACTTGATGAGCCTGGTGTACTAGATGATCCTGGTGTGCTTGATGATCCTGGTGTACTAGATGAGCCAGGTGTGCTTGAAGAACCAGGTGTACTTGATGAACCAGGTGTGCTTGTTGATGGTGGTGTACTAAATGAGCCTGGTGTGCTTGAAGATGCAGGTGTGGTTGAAGTGCCTGGAGTACTTGATGAAACGGGTGTGCTTGTTGATTGTGGTGTACTTGGTGTGACTGACGAACCAGGTGTGCTTGATGATCCTGGTGTACTTGATGAGCCTGGTGTACTAGATGATCCTGGTGTGCTTGATGATCCTGGTGTACTAGATGAGCCAGGTGTGCTTGAAGAACCAGGTGTACTTGATGAACCAGGTGTGCTTGTTGATGGTGGTGTACTAGATGAGCCTGGTGTGCTTGAAGATGCAGGTGTGGTTGAAGTGCCTGGAGTACTTGATGAAACGGGTGTGCTTGTTGATTGTGGTGTACTTGGTGTGACTGATGAACCAGGTGTGCTTGATGATCCTGGTGTACTTGATGAGCCTGGTGTACTAGATGATCCTGGTGTGCTTGATGATCCTGGTGTACTAGATGAGCCAGGTGTGCTTGAAGAACCAAGTGTACTTGATGAACCAGGTGTGCTTGTTGATGGTGGTGTACTAGATGAGCCTGGTGTGCTTGAAGATGCAGGTGTGGTTGAAGTGCCTGGAGTACTTGATGAAACGGGTGTGCTTGTTGATTGTGGTGTACTTGGTGTGACTGACGAACCAGGTGTGCTTGATGATCCTGGTGTACTTGATGAGCCTGGTGTACTAGATGATTCTGGTGTGCTTGATGATCCTGGTGTACTAGATGAGCCAGCTGTGCTCGAAGAACCAGGTGTACTTGATGAACCTGGTGTGCTTGTTGATGGTGGTGTACTAGATGAACCGGGTGTGCTTGAAGATGCAGGTATGGTTGAAGTGCCCGGAGTACTTGATGAAACGGGTGTGCTTGCTGATTGTGGTGTACTTGGTGTGACTGACGAACCAGGTGTGCTTGATGATCCTGGTGAACTTGACGAGCCTGGTGTACTAGATGATCCTGGTGTGCTTGATGATCCTGGTGTACTAGATGAGCCAGGTGTGCTTGAAGAACCAGGTGTACTTGATGAACTAGGTGTGCTTGTCGATGGTGGTGTACTAGATGAGCCTGGTGTGCTTGAAGATGCAGGTGTGGTTGAAGTGCCTGGTGTACTTGATGAGCCTGGTGTACTAGATGATCCTGGTGTACTAGATGATCCTGGTGTACTAGATGAGCCATGTGTGCTTGAAGAACCAGGCGTACTTGACGAACCAGGTGTGCTCATTGAAGGTGTACTAGATGACCCTGGTGAACTTGATATACCAGGTGTATTTGTAAAGCTTGCAGTTGTATACAATTGACCAGTGGTGGAAAATAAAGGTGTTATAAGCGTTGGTGTAGTAGTTTGAAAAGGATAAGTTGGAGAAAATGTTTCAAGAGTAGTAAAAAATTCAGAGGTTGTAGATGTGACTATTTGAGTAGTAACAAAAGGTGTAGTGTTTGTTTCTGAAGAAACTGGTGTAATTGAAGAACTAGGTGTATTTGATGAACCAGGTGTGCTTGTTGATGGTGGTGTACTTGGTGTGACTGACGAACCAGGTGTGCTTGATGATCCTGGTGTACTTGATGAACCTGGTGTACTAAATGATCCTGGTGTGCTTGATGATCCTGGTGTACTAGATGAGCCAGGTGTGCTTGAAGAACCAGGTGTACTCGATGAACCAGGTGTGCTTGTTGATGGTGGTGTACTAGATGAGCCTGGTGTGCTTGAAGATGCAGGTGTGGTTGAAGTGCCTGGAGTACTTGATGAAACGGGTGTGCTTGTTGATTGTGGTGTACTTGGTGTGACTGACGAACCAGGTGTGCTTGATGATCCTGGTGTACTTGATGAGCCTGGTGTACTAGATGATCCTGGTGTGCTTGATGATCCTGGTGTACTAGATGAGCCAGGTGTGCTTGAAGAACCAGGTGTACTTGATGAACCAGGTGTGCTTGTTGATGGTGGTGTACTAGATGAGCCTGGTGTGCTTGAAGATGCAGGTGTGGTTGAAGTGCCTGGAGTACTTGATGAAACGGGTGTGCTTGTTGATTGTGGTGTACTTGGTGTGACTGACGAACCAGGTGTGCTTGATGATCCTGGTGTACTTGATGAGCCTGGTGTACTAGATGATCCTGGTGTGCTTGATGATCCTGGTGTACTAGATGAGCCAGGTGTGCTTGAAGAACCAGGTGTACTTGATGAACCAGGTGTGCTTGTTGATGGTGGTGTACTAGATGAGCCTGGTGTGCTTGAAGATGCAGGTGTGGTTGAAGTGCCTGGAGTACTTGATGAAACGGGTGTGCTTGTTGATTGTGGTGTACTTGGTGTGACTGACGAACCAGGTGTGCTTGATGATCCTGGTGTACTTGATGAGCCTGGTGTACTAGATGATCCTGGTGTGCTTGATGATCCTGGTGTACTAGATGAGCCAGGTGTGCTTGAAGAACCAGGTGTACTTGATGAACCAGGTGTGCTTGTTGATGGTGGTGTACTAGATGAGCCTGGTGTGCTTGAAGATGCAGGTGTGGTTGAAGTGCCTGGAGTACTTGATGAAACGGGTGTGCTTGTTGATTGTGGTGTACTTGGTGTGACTGACGAACCAGGTGTGCTTGATGATCCTGGTGTACTTGATGAGCCTGGTGTACTAGATGATCCTGGTGTGCTTGATGATCCTGGTGTTCTAGATGAGCCAGGTGTGCTTGAAGAACCAGGTGTACTTGATGAACCAGGTGTGCTTGTTGATGGTGGTGTACTAGATGAGCCTGGTGTGCTTGAAGATGCAGGTGTGGTTGAAGTGCCTGGAGTACTTGATGAAACGGGTGTGCTTGTTGATTGTGGTGTACTTGGTGTGACTGACGAACCAGGTGTGCTTGATGATCCTGGTGTACTTGATGAGCCTGGTGTACTAGATGATCCTGGTGTGCTTGATGATCCTGGTGTACTAGATGAGCCAGGTGTGCTTGAAGAACCAGGTGTACTTGATGAACCAGGTGTGCTTGTTGATGGTGGTGTACTAGATGAGCCTGGTGTGCTTGAAGATGCAGGTGTGGTTGAAGCGCCTGGAGTACTTGATGAAACGGGTGTGCTTGTTGATTGTGGTGTACTTGGTGTGACTGACGAACCAGGTGTGCTTGATGATCCTGGTGTACTTGATGAGCCTGGTGTACTAGATGATCCTGGTGTGCTTGATGATCCTGGTGTACTAGATGAGCCAGGTGTGCTTGAAGAACCAGGTGTACTTGATGAACCAGGTGTGCTTGTTGATGGTGGAGTACTAGATGAGCCTGGTGTGCTTGAAGATGCAGGTGAGGTTGAAGTGCCTGGAGTACTTGATGAAACGGGTGTGCTTGTTGATTGTGGTGTACTTGGTGTGACTGACGAAGCAGGTGTGCTTGATGATCCTGGTGTACTTGATGAGCCTGGTGTACTAGATGATCCTGGTGTGCTTGATGATCCTGGTGTACTAGATGAGCCAGGTGTGCTTGAAGAACCAGGTGTACTTGATGAACCAGGTGTGCTTGTTGATGGTGGTGTACTAGATGAGCCTGGTGTGCTTGAAGATGCAGGTGTGGTTGAAGTGCCTGGAGTACTTGATGAAACGGGTGTGCTTGTTGATTGTGGTGTACTTGGTGTGACTGACGAACCAGGTGTGCTTGATGATCCTGGTGTACTTGATGAGCCTGGTGTACTAGATGATCCTGATGTGCTTGATGATCCTGGTGTACTAGATGAGCCAGGTGTGCTTGAAGAACCAGGTGTACTTGATGAACCAGGTGTGCTTGTTGATGGTGGTGTACTAGATGAGCCTGGTGTGCTTGAAGATGCAGGTGTGGTTGAAGTGCCTGGAGTACTTGATGAAACGGGTGTGCTTGTTGATTGTGGTGTACTTGGTGTGACTGACGAACCAGGTGTGCTTGATGATCCTGGTGTACTTGATGAGCCTGGTGTACTAGATGATCCTGGTGTGCTTGATGATCCTGGTGTACTAGATGAGCCAGGTGTGCTTGAAGAACCAGGTGTACTTGATGAACCAGGTGTGCTTGTTGATGGTGGTGTACTAGATGAGCCTGGTGTGCTTGAAGATGCAGGTGTGGTTGAAGTGCCTGGAGTACTTGATGAAACGGGTGTGCTTGTTGATTGTGGTGTACTTGGTGTGACTGACGAACCAGGTGTGCTTGATGATCCTGGTGTACTTGATGAGCCTGGTGTACTAGATGATCCTGGTGTGCTTGATGATCCTGGTGTACTAGATGAGCCAGGTGTGCTTGAAGAACCAGGTGTACTTGATGAACCAGGTGTGCTTGTTGATGGTGGTGTACTAGATGAGCCTGGTGTGCTTGAAGATGCAGGTGTGGTTGAAGTGCCTGGAGTACTTGATGAAACGGGTGTGCTTGTTGATTGTGGTGTACTTGGTGTGACTGACGAACCAGGTGTGCTTGATGATCCTGGTGTACTTGATGAGCCTGGTGTACTAGATGATCCTGGTGTGCTTGATGATCCTGGTGTACTAGATGAGCCAGGTGTGCTTGAAGAACCAGGTGTACTTGATGAACCAGGTGTGCTTGTTGATGGTGGTGTACTAGATGAGCCTGGCGTGCTTGAAGATGCAGGTGTGGTTGAAGTGCCTGGAGTACTTGATGAAACGGGTGTGCTTGTTGATTGTGGTGTACTTGGTGTGACTGACGAACCAGGTGTGCTTGATGATCCTGGTGTACTTGATGAGCCTGGTGTACTAGATGATCCTGGTGTGCTTGATGATCCTGGTGTACTAGATGAGCCAGGTGTGCTTGAAGAACCAGGTGTACTTGATGAACCAGGTGTGCTTGTTGATGGTGGTGTACTAGATGAGCCTGGTGTGCTTGAAGATGCAGGTGTGGTTGAAGTGCCTGGAGTACTTGATGAAACGGGTGTGCTTGTTGATTGTGGTGTACTTGGTGTGACTGACGAACCAGGTGTGCTTGATGATCCTGGTGTACTTGATGAGCCTGGTGTACTAGATGATCCTGGTGTGCTTGATGATCCTGGTGTACTAGATGAGCCAGGTGTGCTTGAAGAACCAGGTGTACTTGATGAACCAGGTGTGCTTGTTGATGGTGGTGTACTAGATGAGCCTGGTGTGCTTGAAGATGCAGGTGTGGTTGAAGTGCCTGGAGTACTTGATGAAACGGGTGTGCTTGTTGATTGTGGTGTACTTGGTGTGACTGACGAACCAGGTGTGCTTGATGATCCTGGTGTACTTGATGAGCCTGGTGTACTAGATGATCCTGGTGTGCTTGATGATCCTGGTGTACTAGATGAGCCAGGTGTGCTTGAAGAACCAGGTGTACTTGATGAACCAGGTGTGCTTGTTGATGGTGGTGTACTAGATGAGCCTGGTGTGCTTGAAGATGCAGGTGTGGTTGAAGTGCCTGGAGTACTTGATGAAACGGGTGTGCTTGTTGATTGTGGTGTACTTGGTGTGACTGACGAACCAGGTGTGCTTGATGATCCTGGTGTACTTGATGAGCCTGGTGTACTAGATGATCCTGGTGTGCTTGATGATCCTGGTGTACTAGATGAGCCAGGTGTGCTTGAAGAACCAGGTGTACTTGATGAACCAGGTGTGCTTGTTGATGGTGGTGTACTAGATGAGCCTGGTGTGCTTGAAGATGCAGGTGTGGTTGAAGTGCCTGGAGTACTTGATGAAACGGGTGTGCTTGTTGATTGTGGTGTACTTGGTGTGACTGACGAACCAGGTGTGCTTGATGATCCTGGTGTACTTGATGAGCCTGGTGTACTAGATGATCCTGGTGTGCTTGATGATCCTGGTGTACTAGATGAGCCAGGTGTGCTTGAAGAATCAGGTGTACTTGATGAACCAGGTGTGCTTGTTGATGGTGGTGTACTAGATGAGCCTGGTGTGCTTGAAGATGCAGGTGTGGTTGAAGTGCCTGGAGTACTTGATGAAACGGGTGTGCTTGTTGATTGTGGTGTACTTGGTGTGACTGACGAACCAGGTGTGCTTGATGATCCTGGTGTACTTGATGAGCCTGGTGTACTAGATGATCCTGGTGTGCTTGATGATCCTGGTGTACTAGATGAGCCAGGTGTGCTTGAAGAACCAGGTGTACTTGATGAACCAGGTGTGCTTGTTGATGGTGGTGTACTAGATGAGCCTGGTGTGCTTGAAGATGCAGGTGTGGTTGAAGTGCCTGGAGTACTTGATGAAATGGGTGTGCTTGTTGATTGTGGTGTACTTGGTGTGACTGACGAACCAGGTGTGCTTGACGATCCTGGTGTACTTGATGAGCCTGGTGTACTAGATGATCCTGGTGTGCTTGATGATCCTGGTGTACTAGATGAGCCAGGTGTGCTTGAAGAACCAGGTGTACTTGATGAACCAGGTGTGCTTGTTGATGGTGGTGTACTAGATGAGCCTGGTGTGCTTGAAGATGCAGGTGTGGTTGAAGTGCCTGGAGAACTTGATGAAACGGGTGTGCTTGTTGATTGTGGTGTACTTGGTGTGACTGACGAACCAGGTGTGCTTGATGATCCTGGTGTACTTGATGAGCCTGGTGTACTAGATGATCCTGGTGTGCTTGATGATCCTGGTGTACTAGATGAGCCAGGTGTGCTTGAAGAACCAGGTGTACTTGATGAACCAGGTGTGCTTGTTGATGGTGGTGTACTAGATGAGCCTGGTGTGCTTGAAGATGCAGGTGTGGTTGAAGTGCCTGGAGTACTTGATGAAACGGGTGTGCTTGTTGATTGTGGTGTACTTGGTGTGACTGACGAACCAGGTGTGCTTGATGATCCTGGTGTACTTGATGAGCCTGGTGTACTAGATGATCCTGGTGTGCTTGATGATCCTGGTGTACTAGATGAGCCAGGTGTGCTTGAAGAACCAGGTGTACTTGATGAACCAGGTGTGCTTGTTGATGGTGGTGTACTAGATGAGCCTGGTGTGCTTGAAGATGCAGGTGTGGTTGAAGTGCCTGGAGTACTTGATGAAACGGGTGTGCTTGTTGATTGTGGTGTACTTGGTGTGACTGACGAACCAGGTGTGCTTGATGATCCTGGTGTACTTGATGAGCCTGGTGTACTAGATGATCCTGGTGTGCTTGATGATCCTGGTGTACTAGATGAGCCAGGTGTGCTTGAAGAACCAGGTGTACTTGATGAACCAGGTGTGCTTGTTGATGGTGGTGTACTAGATGAGCCTGGTGTGCTTGAAGATGCAGGTGTGGTTGAAGTGCCTGGAGTACTTGATGAAACGGGTGTGCTTGTTGATTGTGGTGTACTTGGTGTGACTGACGAACCAGGTGTGCTTGATGATCCTGGTGTACTTGATGAGCCTGGTGTACTAGATGATCCTGGTGTGCTTGATGATCCTGGTGTACTAGATGAACCAAGTGTGCTTGTTGATGGTGGTGTACTAGATGAGCCAGGTGTACTAGAAGTTCCTGGTGTGCTTGATAATCCTGGTGTACTAGATGAGCCAGGTGTGTTTGAAGAACCAGGTGTACTTGATGAACCAGGTGTGCTTATTGATGGTGGTGTACTAGATGAGCCTGGTGTGCTTGAAGATGCAGGTGTGGTTGAAGTGCCTGGAGTACTTGATGAAACAGGTGTGCTTGTTGATGGTGGTGTACTTGGTGTGACTGACGAACCAGGTGTGCTTGATGATCCTGATGTGCTTGATGATCCTGGTGTGCTTGATGATCCTGGTGTACTAGATGAGCCAGGTGTGATTGCTGATGTTCCGGGTGTACTAGCTGATCCTGGTGTACTTGATGAGCCAGGTGTACTAGAAGATCCTGTTGTGCTTGATGATCCTGGTGTACTAGATGAGCCAGGTGTACTAGAAGATCCTGGTGTGCTTGATGATCCTGGTGTACTAGATGAGCCAGGTGTGCTTGAAGAGCCAGGTGTACTTGATGAACCAGGTGTGATTCCTGATGTTCCGGGTGTACTTGATGATCCTGGTGTACTAGATGAGCCAGGTGTACTAGATGAGCCTGGTGTGCTTGATGATCCTGGTGTACTAGATGATCCTGGTGTGCTTGATGATCCTGGTGTACTAGATGAGCCAGGTGTGCTTGAAGAACCAGGTGTACTTGATGAACCAGGTGTGATTCCTGATGTTCCGGGTGTACTTGATGATCCTGGTGTACTAGATGAGCCAGGTGTACTAGATGAGCCTGGTGTGCTTGAAGATGCAGGTGTGGTTGAAGTGCCTGGAGTACTTAATGAAACAGGTGTGCTTGTTGATGGTGGTGTACTAGATGATCCTGATGTGCTTGATGATCCTGGTGTGCTTGATGATCCTGGTGTACTAGATGAGCCAGGTGTGATTGCTGATGTTCCGGGTGTACTAGATGATCCTGGTGTACTTGATGAGCCAGGTGTACTAGAAGATCCTGTTGTGCTTGATGATCCTGGTGTACTAGATGAGCCAGGTGTACTAGAAGATCCTGGTGTGCTTGATGATCCTGGTGTACTAGATGAGCCAGGTGTGCTTGAAGAGCCAGGTGTACTTGATGAACCAGGTGTGATTCCTGATGTTCCGGGTGTACTAGATGATCCTGGTGTACTTGATGAGCCAGGTGTACTAGATGAGCCAGGTGTGCTTGAAGAACCAGGTGTACTTGATGAACCAGGTGTGATTCCTGATGTTCCGGGTGTACTTGATGATCCTGGTGTACTAGATGAGCCAGGTGTACTAGATGAGCCTGGTGTGCTTGATGATCCTGGTGTACTAGATGATCCTGGTGTGCTTGATGATCCTGGTGTACTAGATGAGCCAGGTGTGCTTGAAGAACCAGGTGTACTTGATGAACCAGGTGTGATTCCTGATGTTCCGGGTGTACTTGATGATCCTGGTGTACTAGATGAGCCAGGTGTACTAGATGAGCCTGGTGTACTTGATGAGCCTGGTGTACTAGATGATCCTGGTGTGCTTGATGATCCTGGTGTACTAGATGAGCCAGGTGTGCTTGAAGAACCAGGTGTACTTGATGAACCAGGTGTGCTTGTTGATGGTGGTGTACTAGATGAGCCTGGTGTGCTTGAAGATGCAGGTGTGGTTGAAGTGCCTGGAGTACTTGATGAAACGGGTGTGCTTGTTGATTGTGGTATACTTGGTGTGACTGACGAACCAGGTGTGCTTGATGATCCTGGTGTACTTGATGAGCCTGGTGTACTAGATGATCCTGGTGTGCTTGATGATCCTGGTGTACTAGATGAGCCAGGTGTGCTTGAAGAACCAGGTGTACTTGATGAACCAGGTGTGCTTGTTGATGGTGGTGTACTAGATGAGCCTGGTGTGCTTGAAGATGCAGGTGTGGTTGAAGTGCCTGGAGTACTTGATGAAACGGGTGTGCTTGTTGATTGTGGTGTACTTGGTGTGACTGACGAACCAGGTGTGCTTGATGATCCTGGTGTACTTGATGAGCCTGGTGTACTAGATGATCCTGGTGTGCTTGATGATCCTGGTGTACTAGATGAGCCAGGTGTGCTTGAAGAACCAGGTGTACTTGATGAACCAGGTGTGCTTGTTGATGGTGGTGTACTAGATGAGCCTGGTGTGCTTGAAGATGCAGGTGTGGTTGAAGTGCCTGGAGTACTTGATGAAACGGGTGTGCTTGTTGATTGTGGTGTACTTGGTGTGACTGACGAACCAGGTGTGCTTGATGATCCTGGTGTACTTGATGAGCCTGGTGTACTAGATGATCCTGGTGTGCTTGATGATCCTGGTGTACTAGATGAGCCAGGTGTGCTTGAAGAACCAGGTGTACTTGATGAACCAGGTGTGCTTGTTGATGGTGGTGTACTAGATGAGCCTGGTGTGCTTGAAGATGCAGGTGTGGTTGAAGTGCCTGGAGTACTTGATGAAACGGGTGTGCTTGTTGATTGTGGTGTACTTGGTGTGACTGACGAACCAGGTGTGCTTGATGATCCTGGTGTACTTGATGAGCCTGGTGTACTAGATGATCCTGGTGTGCTTGATGATCCTGGTGTACTAGATGAGCCAGGTGTGCTTGAAGAACCAGGTGTACTTGATGAACCAGGTGTGCTTGTTGATGGTGGTGTACTAGATGAGCCTGGTGTGCTTGAAGATGCAGGTGTGGTTGAAGTGCCTGGAGTACTTGATGAAACGGGTGTGCTTGTTGATTGTGGTGTACTTGGTGTGACTGACGAACCAGGTGGGCTTGATGATCCTGGTGTACTTGATGAGCCTGGTGTACTAGATGATCCTGGTGTGCTTAATGATCCTGGTGTACTAGATGAACCAGGTGTGCTTGTTGATGGTGGTGTACTAGATGAGCCAGCTGTACTAGAAGTTCCTGGTGTGCTTGATGATCCTGGTGTACTAGATGAGCCAGGTGTGCTTGAAGAACCAGGTGTACTTGATGAACCAGGTGTGCTTATTGATGGTGGTGTACTAGATGAGCCTGGTGTGCTTGAAGATGCAGGTGTGGTTGAAGTGCCTGGAGTACTTGATGAAACAGGTGTGCTTGTTGATGGTGGTGTACTAGATGATCCTGATGTGCTTGATGATCCTGGTGTGCTTGATGATCCTGGTGTACTAGATGAGCCAGGTGTGATTGCTGATGTTCCGGGTGTACTAGATGATCCTGGTGTACTTGATGAGCCAGGTGTACTAGAAGATCCTGTTGTGCTTGATGATCCTGGTGTACTAGATGAGCCAGGTGTACTAGAAGATCCTGGTGTGCTTGATGATCCTGGTGTACTAGATGAGCCAGGTGTGCTTGAAGAGCCAGGTGTACTTGATGAGCCAGGTGTGATTCCTGATGTTCCGGGTGTACTAGATGATCCTGGTGTACTTGATGAGCCAGGTGTACTAGATGAGCCAGGTGTGCTTGAAGAACCAGGTGTACTTGATGAACCAGGTGTGATTCCTGATGTTCCGGGTGTACTTGATGATCCTGGTGTACTAGATGAGCCAGGTGTACTAGATGATCCTGGTGTGCTTGATGATCCTGGTTTACTAGATGAGCCAGGTGTGCTTGATGATCCTGGTGTACTAGATTGGCCTGGTATGCTTGAAGTGATTTGAGTATTTGGTGTTGCAGTTGTAGATGATGGTGTGATAACTGTTTGTATTGTTGTATCTGGAGTAACTAAAATTAAATGAAAGAAAATACATTTATTCTTTAAAGTATAAATTGGTGATCTTACTGCTAATAATAAACAAATTATGAAATATCCAATTATAAATATTCTTTAAAATTTGGCTACAACTGGTCTAAAATGTTACGATTAAATTTACAAATGTAAAATAATTGTTTGACTTACAGCAGTCAGCTGGTGGACAGGGAGAGAGACAAGGATGTTCAAAATCATCTAAACAAACTCCATTACAGAAGCCAAGCAAGCAATCATCTGGTGGAAAATCAATAGGTCACCATTAGGAAAGATGTTTTAATTGCCTGGCTTTCAAATAAACATTTATATGCATTATATCATGATAATTTCAGCTTGAGTTGATAAATGTTTATATACATTATATCATGATCACTTTATCTTTAGTTGACAATCACACTCATCTTCCTTTGAGGTATAACTATTTGTAACTGATGCATGTTTTTGCGACACTTTACTTTTAAAATGTTGCATTGCGACACTTTACTTTAAAAATGTTGCATTTGCTTGGATTTATGTACTAGTACCCATAGATGATCCCCCTTCAACTGCGATTTCCCGTAACACAATAAGAGAAAGTTGGAGATCATGAAAACACTATTAGCTTATACAGCAATCTACCTGTTTAAGTAGCAAGTTTTGTAGCACTTAATTTGTAGGTTAAGAAAGAAAATTCTTGTCATGGTTTACATACTTAAAGGGGGTGTGCTTTGTGATTCAGGTGTGCTAGATGACCCAGGTGTGCTAGATGATCCAGGTGTGCTAGATGACCCAGGTGTGCTAGATGATCCAGGTGTGCTAGATGATCCAGGTGTGTTAGATGACCCAGGTGTGCTAGATGATCCAGGTGTGCTAGATGATCCAGGTGTGCTAGATGATCCAGGTGTGCTAGATGATCCAGGTGTACTTGATGACACTTGTGTACTTGGTATTATAGTTGTACTTGAAGGAGTGATAACTGTTTCTACTGTTGTATCTGGACTTGTAACTAGTATAAAACAGAAGAAAAAGACAGCGGCAATATATCAATCTAGGCTTATATCAAAATAGCCAGCAATCTTATTTTGATGCAGAGTTTATATTTTTGTTATTACTGAATATAAACTTTTCACATGATTCTTTTTTTTTTGGTGTGGTAGACAAATATTATTTTCAGCAAAATAATTGTATAAAAAATTTGGTTATGTTGTACTGTCTACCAAAACACATATGGGGAAAATACAACCATTAGAATTTTTTATAACTGTGTATGCATGTAATGATGAATAATTTTACAGCTTTTGATTTCAAATAATTGGTAATTAAAAGATATAACCTTATTAAATTTTAAAGATTTATGTACATTTTGTATTATTACTTAAGTTTAAAAGAAAAAAACACAGCAGGTTTGACTTACAGCAGTCAGCTGGTGGACAGGGAGAGAGACAAGGATGTTCAAAATCATCTAAACAAACTCCATTACAGAAGCCAAGCAAGCAATCATCTGGTGGAAAATCAATAGGTCACCATTAGGAAAGATGTTTTAATTGCCTGGCTTTCAAATAAACATTTATATACATTATATCATGATAATTTCAGCTTTAGTTGATAAATGTTTATATACATTATATCATGATCACTTCAGCTTTAGTTGATAAATGTTTATATACATTATATCATGATATAAGTTGATAAATGTTTATATACATTATATCATGATCACTTCAGCTTCTGTTGACAAACAATCTCATTTTCTTTTGGAAGTTAAATTTGTTCTATCTGGTAGTTGTTTTTAGTGATACACTATACAATCAATAATAAAATACTAATTGTACTGTTTTTTGCTTAATATTCTCTCAGCTTACAAAATGAAAAATAAAACTATCATTCAGTATTATGCTCCACTCCTTGTTAAAGATTATATATTGTATCACTAAGCTATGTTGTCTTTATTTAAAAGTTATTGACTATGTTAGCAACTGGACAATTAATGTTATATTTTTTTATTTGTGTTACACACTGGTGAAGTGTCTATAGTTTATCACCATCTAGAACTAAAGTAGGTTTACAAAGTTCCAAATATCTTATCATGTTTTCTTTGGCAACCTTTAATGCTGTGGTGTATGTTACCAGTGTGATGGGAACAGCTTTGCATACCTGATGGTCAAGTCAGACCATGATACCCACCATAAAAGATGAAATTACTGGACAACAAGCCCCAGTAAGTGGCCACATATTTCAGTGTAAGTAGATTCTGCACAATTGCTGCTAAAACTCACTACAACACAAATGGAGTCTAGTAACCTAGCTAAGAACTTATTGACTAATTTAACCTGATGAGCCTAAACATCATTCATTCAACAAAATATGTATAGAGTATTATCAGGGATAGTGGGGAGGGTGAGGTTAGGTGGTAGAGCATTTGGTTGCTGACTAGCTGATCCTTCTCCATAGCACCAGTTCTTATAAAAAACATAGAGGGTATAAACAAGTGGTGGGGTGATAGCCATAGTGTAGAGCAGGGGTCTCCAAACTTTTCAGTACGAGGGGCGAATTAACTATCAAATTTTAGTTCAGGGGCCAGTTTCTTCCAGGCATGTCTTTGATTTTTCTGGGCAAAGTTCCTCAGACATCACCAACAAACAATTTTTCCTTGGACAAAAAGATCTCCGCGGGCTGCAGTTTGGAGACCCCTGGTGTAGAGTATCGTATTCTGTTTAAAACAGAAAGCTCATGACATATCAGCATGGGTAAGAAGGACATTTGGGGATAAACATATTTCTATCTGTCAAGGTTTTTGTTTAAAGTGATTCGGGTATGCTTGAGGTACCTGGTGTGCTTGATGATCCAGGTGTGCTTGAAGAGCCAGGTGTGCTTAAAGAACCAGGTGTGCTTGATGAACCAGGTGTGCTTGTTGATGGTGGTGTACTAGATGAGCCTGGTGTGCTTGATGATTCAGGTGTGCTTGATGATTCAGGTGTGCTTGAAGAACCTGGTGTACCTGATGATCCAGGTGTGCTTGATGATCCAGGTGTGCTTGATGATTCAGGTGTGCTTGGTGATCCAGGTGTGCTTGATGATCCAGGTGTGCTTGGTGAACCAGGAGGAGGAGGAGTTACAATAGTTTCCACTGTTCTGTTTGGTGTTGTAACTGAAACAAACATTTTTTATAGTAGGCTTAACACGTACTACCTTTTAATTTACTTTTAAAATAATTCGTCTTCAGTGATTGCTACAAATATGTTGACAAATCAATTTTACAATCAATGTTTACAGTCAAAAGTATAACAAAGCTCCTATAGTGATCTCAAAATGTGTGATAAAGCTGTCTTGAAGGAAGAATTGAGGCGGGTGGAACAATTGCCATTTATGATGAAATAAGGGAGTGAACAATTTAACTATGCTGAACTTATGAAGGCTAATGGTGTTACAAGGATATATAAAACCAAAATTTGTTACATTTGTAAAACTAGTCAAAAGATAGCTATCAGGAAAATAACTAATTTTGACAATTCTAAAACAAGTTCACCTAATACTTTTCTTTTTTAATAAACAACAATTTTAATTTAAAATAGACATTTATTTGAAGAAAAAAAATAATTATCTGCAAAAAGTTCGATAGTATACAACTAGAAATAAATAAATGCATAAGTAGGTGTATAAATAAATACATACATGGAAATATGAAAAATGAGCTTGTTTCATTTTAAAATTACAAGTCTTTAACTTACAGCAATCACTTGGTGGACAAGGTGAACTGCAAACATTGTCAAAATCATCTAAACATTCACCATTGCAGTAGCCAAGAGTGCAGTTATCTACGGTTAACAGACAGAAAAATTGGTTTGCATTTGAAACAATACAATTTTAACTAGAGAAAAAGAATTATAAGTGAGAAAAATCTTTTATTTTTAAAACATGATAAACCCTGAATATAACTCATAGCAAGTTTACTTCGATTACATGCTGATGAATGGACACAATTCTCTATCAATTTGTTTTTATTGAAATTATCATTTTCTTTTATAAGTAGTCACAGCAAAGTGAGATGCTATTTTAAACTGTTTACTTCAAGTATTAATGTTTTTTTCCTAGAACCATTTTTTCTGTAATTGTTCTAACACTGGTTTTACTCATTAATTAAGATAAAAAATATGGAAGCTTTCTCATTTTCTATGGTTAATAAACTTGTTTTTAATACCTTTTTCCCCTCAATGAAGTGTGTTTTTCAGCACAAAAGCTTTAATAAATTTGTTGGTAAAATTTTTTATAGGAAGTAAATTAGTATAGTTAACACTGGGGAAAAAACTTTGATTTAAGGTGTTAAATTATATTACCGAATATACTTGTTGAAGTGAATGGAGTTGTTGTTGTCAATGCTGAAAAATATTTACATAAAAACATTTACAGATGGAAAAGGAGTATATCCAATATCATATCAGTAATGATAGTGTGAAAATTTCAATTTTTATCAAATACATATGAACTTACTTGTTGGTTCATAGCAGACATCCACGTAAAATGATGATATGTTAGCGTCTGTCACAATGGAGAAATAATCAAAGATAACATTGTATTGGCCTGTGAATTCCATTGGATTTGAAGTTATGTGATGAGTCTGTAAATACAAGAATTTTTTGTTGTGTTCAATTTTCTTTAACCCATCAATATATTTTTAAAATATATTAGGTGAGATATCTAAAAATACAAATATAACTTGAGACAAAGTTTAGCTGTAAAACTCAAATAAAGTTGTAGGATTAATGTATTAGAAATCCTAGCATGCAAATACTTTTAAACAACATAAATAAACAGTTTTCCCTACTTTAACAATGACATTCCTTTCATTTGTCATAACTTTTACACAATACAAATGAACAATTTCCACTTGGAACACTTTTACACAACACAAACAAGCAATTTTCCCTAACACCAACAAGAACATTCCCTTCATTTATCACAAGTTTTACACAACACAAAAAGGGAGTTTCTACTTACATCAACCAGAACATTCCCTTCACTTGAGACAACTGTTACGGTAACGTTGGAGCCTATACCATTGTTGAGCACAAAACCAACTTGTACAAGAGTTGCTGGAACTGAACTAACAACAGAAAACACTAATGGGTTTTCTGTTCCACCATTAGGCTTCCAGCCACTTTCCAGAAATATGTTATCAACAAAGACAGAGCTGCTTTGAATTACAAGCCACTGTGATGGCCGTGTGAAGTGTGTTAGAGTATATTCACATTCTACTGGAAATAGAAAGAGAATGGAATTATAGCGTAAAGTTACATTCTACTGAAAAAATTTAAAAAGTATAAATAATAATGTCTTGTAATTTACTGAAAATCAAAGTTGTATCTCATTTTAAAATAACAAATCTAATAAAATTATTGATGAATATAAAAGACATAATATGATTTGATTTATTTGTATTTAAAATAGTTTAAAAGCAGTTTAAAATCATACCTTCCCTAATGGTAGTAGTAGAAGGTGTCACTGAAATGAAACAAAATGTAAGTTTGAATATAATTTGTTATGGGTGCTGTAGTGGAAAACATTCCATTATCACAAATAAAAACAACTCAACATTATTATAAATGCTGTAGAATAATAATTAGACAGTAAATATTTACACACTTCAACTTCTCTAAGACAAGTCTAAACAAAAGCAAATGCAGGGTTCTAAGGTTAGAATTCATAAATTATATTTTCAACAATATACCTATCTATTAATGTATATTTATGAAAAGCATGCATTAGATAAAAATACAACACACTTGTAAAAATTTAAGTCTTCAACTAATCACCAAGTGGTTTTAGTATAGTAAAGTAAAGATGAAAGTAAATTAAAGTAAAAACTTTACCACAGCCAATTTCATCAGATCCATCCCCACAGTCATCATGACCATCACAGTGGTAGTCTTTAGGTATGCAGTAGGTTTGGTTACAATGTGTTTCATTGTGAGGACAGGCTGTAGAAAACATTGCAAAAATAATATTTTTTAAATTTTTCATTATGTTTAGATAGGTTAATTTAACATACAGATTCTATTCTAATAAAATAATATAATTAAATCAGCTTTGTAAAATGTCTGATCTATCACAGGAGCATAGTTCTTCCAATAAAATAAAATCAGCTTTCTAAAACGTTTGTTAGGAACAACATAGGCCTACTTACGCTGACAATCAAGTTCATCTTCACCGTACCAACAGTCTAGATTCCCATCACAAAGAAAAGACTCATCTATGCAATAGTTACTTTCAGGACATTTGTAGGACCCATTCGGACATTCAATATCTTTAAAAAAAAGTGAGTCATTAGGTCTATCGGACATGTTATTTAGAAAACTAACAAAAATACTTAATATCAAACTATTACTACACTACTAAATAATTTTTTTTTATAGATGTTAGGAATTTTTAAAAAATCTTATTTAAAGAAAACAATTGTAGTAATTATAACTTCCCACAGTTAAAGAGAGAAAACCTACCACATTTGTCCTCATCTGAGCCATCCATGCAGTCAGTTATTTGATTGCAGACAGTCTGGTTTCCCACACACTGTCCGTTGTTACAGCTGAAGCCAGAGCAGATCTCTCCTGTAAAGAACCAGAGCTAAACTTGTGATACATGTGAGAAGTTCTACTGTAGAGAACCAGAGCTAAACTTGTGATACATGTGAGTGGAAGTTCTACTGTAGAGAACCAGAGCTAAACTTGTGATACATGTGAGAGGAAGTTCTACTGTAGAGAAGGAGAGCTACATTAAACTTGTGATACATGTGAGAGGAAGTTCTACTGTTTGAGAAGCAGAGCTAAACTTGTGATACATGTGAGAGGAAGTTCTACTGTAGAGAAGGAGAGCTACATTAAACTTGTGATACATGTGAGAGGAAGTTCTACTGTAGAGAAGCAGAGCTAAACTTGTGATACATGTGAGAGGAAGTTCTACTGTAGAGAAGCAGAGCTAAACTTGTGATACATGTGAGAGGAAGTTCTACTGTAGAGAAGCAGAGCTAAACTTGTGATACATGTGAGAGGAAGTTCTACTGTAGAGAAGCAGAGCTAAACTTGTGATACATGTGAGAGGAAGTTCTCTTGAAACCAGAAATAAAAAACAGATAACAATGTACACACTTAATGTGTACAATTCCATCTCAATGATGGTAAAACAAATGAAATATATCCACAGTTAAACTCATATTGACTTGAAATAATAAATTTTAAGGTTTTTAAAAATTCAGGAAGAATTTACTTATAAATGAATTAGACTACCCATTAACAGTCTTAATAAGCACATGTTACATTAAATTAAGTACAGTGAATATAACTTCAAAAAAAAAATAATACATGATAATTAAAAAAAACATCATTAATACTACAAGGCGAAAACATGATAAAAGCAGTTTCTCAAAAATAATTTTTAAACACAGCAATCTTGCAGTTAATCAAATGTCTACAGATTGGTGTAAAAATATATACAATTAGAATATATCTGTATTTTGATGTAAATATTTCTACAATTAGAATATACCTATATTTTGGTAAAGGGTATACTGGTATGGGTGAAGATAAAACCAACCTGAACATTCAAGCTCGTCACCACCATCTTTACACTCAGGAACTCCGTTACATTTCAGCTTGTCATTTAGGCAGTGTCCATCATTACATCGGAATTCATCCTCCTTACATTCATTTATACATGTGTCACCAGTACACAGAAGCTCTCCATCTATGCATTCACTGTTCAATTAAAAAAAAAGGTGGCGAATTAGATTTATGTTGTAGAAATGTGTTCTAAAGTTACACTGGTACAGAAAAACCTTTCACACTATACATACTAATAACTTACTGATGTTGGGGTAGGAAACATAATTTTAAAAATATATCAATCAGTTTTATTTAGCTTCTCTACTAAGAATTGGTATATTTTATGCATGTTTAAACATTTTTCTGGAACAATATCAATTCAGCACTCTAAATGCAATATATAACTAGAAACTAAAATTATACATTTTAAAAATGATTTTTACATACAGGTTGACATCCCCCCCCCCCCCCCATAATTTCAACAGTTCTTTTTTCTTTATTTAAACTGCTAAGATTACTACAAATGAGTGAAACAACATTACCAGTCTTGACAATTGATTATTGCAGACTCCCCTTGTGGGATTGTTTGACCATGTTCATCAATACATGGGCATTCAGATTTTTTAATACAAGTTGATGTTTCCATGTTGTCAACATCTTGATATGCAAAGACCATCAATGTGTTAAAACATTTTTAATGTCACATGGTAAAACCATGTCATATAGGCTTATACGATTACATCAAAATATCAAGTAATGCTTATCTTATATTTCAATATTTTAAAATAATTTAAAAACAGCATTAACAAGACCTCAATAAAAGTGTTTTTTAACAAATATTTTTTTTACTTGATTAATATTTATTTGACTAAATGTGTGCTGACCTGATCTGACATAGCCTTCAGGACAGAAGCAACCTTCAACACAAGTGAGAGATGAACAAAGGCTGTCTGTGCCATTTGCTGGGTTCTCACATGACTCAGGACATACACTGCCACAAGGCTCATAAATACTGCCATCATCACATTGCATTGCTTGAGAAGAGAACAAAAGAAGACTATTATAAAAAAAAATTCAAGAGAAAGACATATTTTAAACATAAAACACACAGGGAAAATAAGTTTTTCCTAAAATTTTTGCTTTTTCTTGGCAGTAAAGTGTTAATTATCAACAGAATTTAACAAATTAATTGTCTATTTATAAATAATGCTGACATGATAAATATTTAATCAGTGCATAGCATATCTATATAATTACATTTTAAATTACATGAAAAAAAAAACAACTAAAATAGTCATTTTGCTTGGTAAGTTTTTAATTCAGCTGAAGTGACTGTGTAACAATTATGAGAGTAATTTGTAGACTTACGACATAGTCTCTGATGTCTCCAGCGAGCAGGGGCTCCAATTCTGTTACAATGTGCAGCATAGGCACCAATAGCATCACAGAGACACTCACAGTCACCACCAATATCACAACTGAAATAAAATAGAATTTGTTGCAATACACACTTCACTGTAATAAAGATGTAAACATCTATATACCTTCATTTCAATATTAAACACATAAATAATAAATATAATTTATATATGGATGTATTTAGATTGTTTTTATTTTCCCATTGTATATTTAGAATAACATTCTGTTAAATTTTTAGCAATTACAAAAATGTTCTAATTTTTTATTTGTTAGTTTTTTGTTTAGCTCTAACCATAGGCCCTTATATTAAAACTTTAACTTTTTTTTTCAAGGCAATGTTCTGTTTCTGATACATATCTGGTTTCTATGATATTCCTAAATAATGCAGCAAATATTAATAAAAATATATGTAATGGTTTATGATAGGCAGTTGTAAGAAGTTGAAGAAAATTATCATCCTACTCTTACTTGTGCATTTATTTCATCACTGTAAACAAGAATAATCAAAACAAAATTCTTCAAGTCTTACTTGCATGACTGGGCAACACAGTTGTCATAAAAACTGACAGCTCCACCTTGTTTTCTGCATTGAGCAAAAGCTTCTCCTTCCAAAATAACTTGACATGATTTTTGTGACCATGCCTCTCGAGGGGAACCCTTTTGATAGTTAAAAATAATTGATGATAGTTCTTATCAGAACCCACATTCAGCTAGACTGGGATCCTAGCATTATAGTTATGTAGATCTAGAGATCTATTCTATAATATAATCTATATGTAGATTCTGTATTTAATAATTTATAGCATTACTTGACTACATTACATCATGAATCATGATGGGATGATAATGATAGACCAAGGGGGCAGTGTTTCTTCCAGACTTGTTTCTCCGGTGGGGGGGGGGGGCACTTGATATTTTCCAGGGGGGGGGTGGTAGACTTTCTTCGCCCCCCCCCCCCTCCCCCACGAAGAGATGCCTGGAACTGACTGATTTCACTGAGTGAAGAAACTCTGTGATCGACATCAACTTCAAGATCTCAGTCACTGCGACTTTTCCCTTCCACCCCCTCCCGTCTATAAGCAATGTGATCTAGATATATATACATTTTTAGTCTTATTTAATCAAAGGAATTTTGAACTGTGTTTTAAAATTTTAAGCCGATTGCACTTCCGAATTTTTGTCAATGTTTGTATTCTGTTTTTATTTTGGACTTTAAAACTTTAGTACATAAAAAGATAATTATAAATTACAGTAGCCGCCCCTTAAGATGCCAGATAATTATAAGCAAAACAAATACAAATATACATTTTGAAAACTAAAATACAAATTATCCAACAATATGTAGGAGAAGCTTCAGTCAAAGTGTCGCAATTTTGACTAAATGTATGGAAATAATTTGATTGCAATAAGAATAAGACGAAGCTGACAGAACTTCGTTTTTTGACCAAACATTTTAAATAAAGTTTTCATGTCTGATTCATTAAAAAATTTCAGACATTTTGCTCCGTGAGTACGGGGGTATCTCGAACAGTGTTTCTTCCAGACTTTTTTCTCCGGAGGGGCACTTGAAATTTTTTGGGGGGGGGGGGGGGGGGGGCGGGAGACTTTCTTCGGGGGGGGGCGGACACTGTTAGAAGTATATATTTTCTATATAAATTATATAAATTTCATTTCGTTCGGGGGGGGGGGGCGGTAGAATTTGTTCGGGGGGGGGGGGGGGTTTGCCCCCCCCCCCCCCGAAGAGATGCCTGGAAGAAACTCTGATCTCGAACCTTCAGACCGGGCCAACGATTATGAGAATGGTGAAAGTATACAATACTTTCTATTTATATTAAAATAAATCTTTATTTTGTTAGGGGGAGGAGAACAGTAGACGATTAGGGGGGGGGGGGTGATTTGTGAGAGGCATAAAAGAAACGCTTATCACATATCGCTGCTCAAAGTTTGATATCTAGTATTTCCTTGCAAGCTTGTCTTTCATCAATTATTAAGCGCATACAAAGAAGCCGTTCTAGTTTTTATACTTTCATTGAAGATGTCTAAATGTAATGGCTCAGGGTAAATTTGTACTTATTTTTATCCGCCGAGTAGTTCGACCCAGACATTAGGCTCACCTCACAGGAAGCAACCGTCTGCTCCTCAGTCATGGTGCACTCATCCTGGTTGACAATCCAGCTCTTAGCAAATTTGCTTAAGGTTTCTTTCTGAAGACTATCGCTTCCAACGTTGTCATCTGAGGCATCCATGTTGAAGTTGCCACATAGGCCAGAGGTCTGGTTGAACAATTTACTCGCCACTTCGATAGACAATGACAATCCTGCAAAACAAATCATCATCTACAATATCTACTGTAAAGCTGATTTTTTTTTCAAGTTATATTCTACTGGGCATGAAATATGGCCAATGAGATAAAGAAAGACAGATGGTCATCTAGCGAGAAAGTCAAACAACACTGGGGTGAAAGTGTGATAATACAAAAAGATTAAAAGGCAGGCCTAAGCTGTGTTGCATGGCGTTGAGGCAGACCTGCGGCAACTTGAAGACGTGGAATAAGAAAACTAAAACAAGTCTGAGTAGAAATGGCTGGGAATCAGATAAAAAATCTCTGCATGGCATCTAGAGCCACAGGGATGAATGGATGATCAGGTTCATACATCAAACTGAAAACCGTTTTATCTATTTCCAGAGAAGGGAAAAACTAGAGGTGAAAAGGAAGACGAAATGGAACTCTATTACTCGCCCACTAAACGCCACCCTTGTACCCAAAAAGTGAATTGTACAGTTTACGATATGGTGTAGGTAGACAGCGTGAGTTGAATTTTATGTCGAAGAATCTTTAAGACAACATGAAACAACTGAGCTTTACCTGTCACTTGACTTTAAATAATACCTAGATATTGTGACTAGGTTCAACCAACACGTATAATTTTCAGTCCCCCCCCCCATCTCCCGCCCCACCCCCATGACCCCAACCTACCTTTGTTCCATGTTATCGCCACCTCGTCGCTAATTTTAGCGGTGTACTGGTAGTTGTTGTCGATGATTTTGATGTTGGGCCCCACGTTCTTCCTGTACTCTTTGTTCCCCACCATGACAGTGCCAGGGTCAGTTGACCGCAGGAGAATCGGGTCACTCAGGTAGGCCGTATCGATGTTGATCATAAACATACAGGCTGTTTCTATTGGAGAATACAATGATTAGTAGGACTGTAAAGAATAAACATACAGCCTGTTTCTATTAGAGAATACATTGATTAGTAGGACTGTAAATAATAAACATACAGGCTGTTTCTATTGGAGAATACAATGATTAGTAGGACTGTAAAGAATAAACATACAGCCTGTTTCTATTAGAGAATACATTGATTAGTAGGACTGTAAATCATAAACATACAGGCTGTTTCTATTGGAGAATACATTGATTAGTAGGACTGTAAATCATAAACATACATGCTGTTTCTATTAGAGAATACATTGATTAGTAGGACTGTAAATCATAAACATACAGGCTGTTTCTTTTAGAAAATAATTGATAAGTAAGTAAGTAAATCATAAACATACAGGCTGTTGTTATTAGAAATTCCATTTATTATTTAGTCTGTAAAGCATAAAAATACAGACAGTTTCTATCAGATAATACACTGAATAGCAAGTCTGTAAACCACACAGATCACATCATTTTAATAAAAAAAACTAAAAAAAAACTACTGCGTTGCTATAGAAACAAGAGATGCTTACTCTTGCTACCGCAGCGCATGGGTCTTATCCTAACGACCAGAGATCCGGCCTTGAGGGCGTAGTACTCGCAGGTCCCATCGATGGAGAAGTCACTGAAGGTGGCAGCATCGAAAGGTTTCAGTTTCATGGAGGAGCCGCTCAGTACACAGGTGCCTGGTGGGGCGGGATAGAAGGGGGTAACGTTAGGAGATTTCACGCGATTTCTGATCAACCGAAAACTGAGAAGCTTTTTGGCTATTTTAGGATTATTGTTAAAGCTAGGGCTTGAAGAAGATAGGGCTAAGTTATAGTTAGGCATCATTATCGGTTATGTATATTTAAATTTTAAAAATTCAGGCTAAAATAAAAGGAACCTGATTAGCCTTTAAAGATTAAGGCTAACGGTGAGATAAGTTTGTACAATTAAACCCTTACATTGAGATAATTTTGTACAATTTCCCTAATATTGAAAAACGTTTGTACAAATTAACCCTAACCTGAGATAAATTTGTACTTATGTAGGTATATGCCAACTTTTGTACTTTAAACAATTCTGTTACCTGTACAAGTCACTGTTCTTTGCGAGTCCACCTCAAAGATACCATCTCTACAAACTCTGGTGATTTAAACAAAAGTGTGTGTTAGAATAATAGACAAAATAATAAATACATAAAAACAAATATCCAGGCTTACACTGCGAACTGGCGCGTATTAAAATACTATTCACAGTACAGCCCTAAGCTTTTAAAAACATCCAAGTAACATGAAATTTCTAAAATAAATTCTTACTTGGTCTGGCAATTCTTTTCAAAGCTCTCACCGTCATTGTACCATTTCCCCGCTTCATAGCAAGGACATTTTTGTACGCACGATCCGGTCTGAAATATCAGATACGTATGTAGTCACATCATTTATAGACACGTGAAATTTTCAGATCAAAACAATGACATAAATTTAACGCCATAACAAGGACATTTTTATACACACGATCCTGTCTGAAATATCAGATACGCATGAAGTATGTAGTAACATAATATAGGTTTGAAGTTTTTTGGGGAAATTTATTTTTTAACGTAATTTTTTTTTTACAACAAATATGTTTAAATGAGTTACTTGTGTCTGCTTGTATCCCTGTCCACAAAAACACAACTGTGAACTTGTCGCAACGTTCAAACACTCGGCCTCGGCGTAGTAAGGTTTAGGGCACATCTTTCTGGCACATGTCGGGTCTGCGATCTTGGCGAGCAGGTCACTCTTTGAGACCTGGGAGTTGGCACAGATCACCTGTTCACAGTTGTGGTCGCACACTAGCTCACTCCCGTTGCAGACACTAGGAGAAGAAAATAATCTACAGTTATATCCACAGAAGAAAACTCTTTTTCTTATCAATCCTTGCACCTACACTGGCATGTTCTAGCGCTTTCGTTATTTTACCATTGCCTACACTTTTACATCAACTTCTCTTACCATTCCCTACACTCTTACATCAACTTCTATTACCATTCCCTACACTCTTACATCAACTTCTATTACCATTCCCTACACCCTTACATCAACTTCAATTACCATTCCCTACAGCATTGTGTTGGGTCATTTTACCTTTCCCTACAACCCTATATCTATTGCAATTCAATGCTACCCATGCTACCTTACCATTCCCTATATCATTGTGCCCATGTTATCTTATCATTCCAAACACCCGTGCATCTATACCATTAACATTCTTTACAGCCTTATTTCTATATTTCTGCCTATCGCATCCTTGTATCCATGTTATCTTACCATTCCTTGCACCTGTGTGCCCGTGATATCTTATCACTCACTACACCCTTATGTCTGTGATACATTACTATTCCCTACAGCCGTGTGATATCTTACCATTCCCTACACCCTTCTGATATCTTACCATTCCCTACAGCCGTGTAATATCTTACCATTCCCTACAGCCGTGTAATATCTTACCATTCCCTACAGCCGTGTAATATCTTACCATTCCCTACAGCCGTGTAATAGTAGTATATTAGGTCCCTTTTGGGTCGTATGGGTGAAGGAGCCATGGGTGAGCAGGATGCGGATGCGGATGCGGATGCGGAACAAAGGATATATAGTAAAATACTCACCCACCTGGCGGAGGGTGAAGGAGCCGGCGGGACAATGAGATATAGTAAAATACTCACCCACCGGGGTGAGGGTGGGTGAGGGTGAAGGAGCAGGCGCAGGGTGAAGGAGCCGCAGGCGCAATGACATATAGTAAAATACTCACCCACCTGGGTGAGCAGGTGGGTGAGGGTGAAGGAGCCGCAGGCGCAAAGGCATATAGTAAAATACTCACCCACCCTAGGGTGGGGGATGCGGATGCGGAGTAGGTCAGTAGGTCACCACCGGTGACCTTGTGACGTAATTAGTAACATTATGACGTAATCATTGACCTAGTTACGTAATTTTAATGTGTTTTTTAATTAGTTTTAATGAGTTTTTTAAATTTTAATTAATTTTTTAATTAGTTACGTAATTTGATTATTTGTTTACTTTTTTAATTGTTTAATTTGTTGTTTACTTGTTGTTTAATTTAATTATTTGTTTGATTTTAATGAATTTAAATACTTTGTTTATATTTTGTTTGTTTATTTTTTTAATTAGTTTAATTATTATTAACGAGTTACGTAATTGGATTTTAATTTTTTTGAATTTTTAAATTTTAAATTTTATTTTATAATTAGTTAAATTATTATTATTAACTAGTTACGTAATTTGATTTTAATTACTTTGTTTATTTGTTTATTTAATATATTTCTTTTCTTTGTTGTTTAATTTGTTGGTTTGTTTATTTGCTTGTATGTATGTTTTAAATAAAAGACTAACACTAGCGTGGACTTTGTATAGGGACCATTCAGCAACACAACGAACGGTTACCGAAAATAGAACATCCATTTAACCACATCTGTTACTTATCGATCCGTGATCCTTTGTTGACACGCGCTGCGCTTTTAATGGGAATGTATTGATCGCACCCACGGAGCCATCGGGACAACGGGCGCGTTAATATTGATTCCACACACAGCCATCAAATGATGGTCCGCCTAATTAATTTGGTCATGCATCGTGGGTTTATGTCGACTACAAACATCCATTAGAGACACCTGTTACTCGCTAAGGGCACCCGACACGTATCGATCCACATGCGATCCTTTGTTCTTGTCAACCACCGTACAAGGGCCAAGTTAATATTGATCGAACCCACTGACCATCAGTATGATGGTCCACGTCATGTGTAATTTTTATTAACGAGTTACGTAATTTGATTTTAATTTTTTAAATTTTTAAATTTTTAATTTAATTTTATAATTAGTTTAATTATTATTAACGAGTTACGTAATTTGATTTTAATTTTTTTTAAATTTTAAAAATTTTTTTAAATTATTATTTTTAAATTTTATTTTTAATTGTTGTTTACTTGTTGTTTAATTTAATTACTTTGTATAATTTATTTGTTTGAAATTCATTTTAATTAGTTTGCTTTTAATTTCTTTGTTGTACGCCGTTTGAAATAAAAGACTAACACTAGCGTGTACTAGAAAGTGTCATTGTGTATAACATCCATTTAACCACAGCTGTTACTTATTAGCGACAGCTTGTACTTATCGATCCGCCCGTGAGCCTCCCCGGCGCTCCCCGTGGTTGCTTAATAGCGGACTCACTGAAGCGATCACAACAGGTAATTAATCGAAACCATTAAGTCCCTCTCCGCGTTAAGTGTGGCGACAGCTGGTGCTGTAATTAGTCACGGCTCTCGGCTTTTTTCATTAGACTACAGCTGTACATGAACTATGTTCACATATCGTACGCCCGGTCATTCTTTGATCAAATTAAAAAATTTTGTTTCCACATGTCCTGCGAACCGTCCCTTGCTATGTATGAAAGATTAATGGTTGTAACTATGCGCTTATAGCGAGGGTCAGCGAAAACAAAAATATATTTAAGGGTCGGAATTTTCTTTCAACCACCGTTAAGTCAGGTTTTGAGACGAAACGAAGTCTCGGTAGGTTCGTGTTTTTTAATGGGCGACAGGGCGACTTGATGCGTTGGTACGTAGGTATGCGGGGTTAAGGTTCTATAACTCTATATATTTAAATACGTTTTTTTATTCAAATGAGTTTACTCCCCCTAACGTAAGTACATGTAAAGAGGGATTTCCTATAGATCTGTAATGAATTAGGCCTTTTTGACTATGACTTGTTGCCCAGGTGTTGACATGATACGCTTTTTTGAGATATACATACACACACACACACACACACACACACACACAAACACACACACACACACACACACACACACATGCGCGCGCGCGAAATTCATACTAGGTCGGTAATGGCGGAGAGAACTTATAGGTATACATTATCATGGCGACAACAAAAGCGACTCTTATTTTATTTACATGAAAGCGTGTTTTCCAAAAAGTGTCACCATGCCATTGTCATTTTCGCAGCGGGGTTTATTTTAAGTGTACCCCGTGCACGGTTGTTTACATTTTAAAAGACGTGTCGCGTGTCTTCCCCTTACGGCTTCCCTAATAGAGAAACGAGAGGAAAGACAACTGTTCTAAAATTAGAACAGACTTATCTACACACACGAGTATCGTCCCTTGTGAAAAAAATTCGCGTCAGATTCCTTAACTAAACAGTCAATTTCTTTAACAAGTTAAAAAATAATTTAGGAAGACAAGGGTTAACAACATTAGACGCTACCGTTTTTGTTTCCTGTGACGACAAGGCACAATACACTTTTGTATTTTATGTCTCAAGTAGAGGGTGGGATATTTTTTCTTTGTAAGCGTGTTGTAAACAATGGGTAGAGGAAGCGATTACTAGGTAAGAGGGGAGAGAACGTGACGTACATCGCGATATTTGAAAACATGGCGATGTTTAACCTCAACCAAAAAAGGCAATGAACCTAGAAGGAAGACGAATATATATCTTAGTCTTGCACCAGATTACCTCCCCATGTTCGCTTTAGTATTACAGTTTTCATCAAACTTCTTTTTGACTTGAACTTCTTTAATTTTTAAGAAAGTTTACTTATACATATAACATTACGTCTAAAGACATTTTTATTTTATTTTTACCACTCAATGTATTTTGTTTTTCTATATCTTACATTGTCATCTTAATTTTTGATCACCTTAGTAAAAATTTGCTTAAGATTATAAAATTCAAGTTTTAAAAAACAACAACGTTGTAGTACGTCGTGTCAAATGACACACCGTTTAAAATGCCTACATTTAAAGTTCACCAAAATAAGGACGTAAAAAACTAAATATGATATGACGTTAGCATACATATCATTCAATCTAATCACTCTAAAGTACAAATCAATAATTTTTATTGATTAAGGGGCTGGGTGAGTTATTTTTATCACTACTCGCCCTTCCCCTTCCCTTTGTCCGCAATCCTTCCCCCTTCTCCCATCCAACCTTGCGTCATCACACTAACCTCAATACCAACCGCTAGATAAACAGACCGTACTACTACCCACACTATACCTATTCCATTTAAGAGACTAAGGCTGTATGACAATCCTACAGACAAATATTTATTCAACTAATATCACAACCTCCTAGAAACCACTCCAACAGACTGGGATACATAACTTGTAGACACCACTCTTCGTTGAATATCTCTTGCACCCTACCTACATCGACAACTTTGTCCGCCGCCCTCGCCCCCGTCCCTAAACACCTGCTTGATAAACAGACCGTACCTCTACCCACACTATTACTTGGACAGACAAAGGACAAAGTAACAGACAAACATTTATCCCCCTTCGTTTACTGTCACAAGTGACAACGTTCCCATCCAACTCCGAAACATCCATGTACCAATTTTGAAACCTGTCTTGTTGAAAACAAAGACCGTCCCACTCTAGTGTAAACTCTACACCGAGCAACTCCGAAACAGAGATGTCCCCCGTTTGAAACCTGCCTCGGTGAAAACAAAATCCTTCCCACTCTAGTATAGACTCAGCTCCTAACACTTCCAAAACATCCCTGGACCAACCTTGAAACCACCCTCGGTGAAAACTTCACCGACCCTAGTATGGACTCTACACCTACCGATTCCAAAACATACAAGTTCCGAGTTCAAAACCAACCTTCACCGACACTAGTATGAACTCGGCTACCAACAATTCCAAAACATGCATGTTCCGAGTTCAAAACCAACCTTCACCGACAGTAGTATGAACTCGGCTACCAACAATTCCAAAACATCCATGTTCCGAGTTCAAAACCAACCTTCACCGACACTAGTATGAACTCGGCTACCAACAATTCCCAAACATACCTGTACCAATGTTCCAACCTGCCTCAGTGCTAACAAAATTCCCCGACCCTAGTATGAACTCGACTGCCATCAATTCCTAAACATCCATGTACCAACTGTGTAACCTGCCTCGGTGAAAACTTCACCGACCTTAGTTTAACTCTCCCTAACATTTCCAATGATGCATGTACGAACTTTGTAACCTGCCTCGGTGAAAACACCCCCGTCCCTAGTATGAACTCGGTTACCAACAATTTCAAAACATGCATGTTCTGAGTTCAAAACCAATCTTCACCGACACTAGTATGAACTCGGCTACCAACAATTCCTAAACATGCATGTACCAACTTTGCAACCTGCCTCGGTGTTAACAAAAACTCCCCTGACCCTAGTATGGACTCTACACCTACCGATTCCAAAACATGCATGTTCTGAGTTCAAAACCAACCTTCACCGACACTAGTATGAACTCGGCTACCAACAATTCCTAAACAAGCATGTACCAACTTTGCAACCTGCCTCGGTGAAAACATCTCCGACAGTAGTTTGAACTCGGCTGCCAACAATTCCTAAACATACCTGGCCCAACTTTGTAACCTGCCTCAGTGAAAACTTCACCGACCCTAGTATGAACTCTAGACCTATCGATTCCAAAACATACATGTTCCGAGTTCAAAACCATCCTTCACCGACCCTAGTATGAACACGGCTTCTAACAATTCCAAGGATGCATGTACAACTTTACAACCTGCCTCAGTGTTAGCAAAACTCCCCGACCCTAGTATGAACTCAACTGCCAACAATTCCTAAACATCGATGTCCCAACTTTGCAACTTGCCTCGGTGAAAACTTCACCGACCCTATAAAATTATTGATTTGTACTTTAGAGTGATTAGATTGAATGATATGTATGCTAACGTCATATCATATTTAGTTTTTTACGTCCTTATTTTGGTGAACTTTAAATGTAGGCATTTTAAACGGTGTGTCATTTGACACGACGTACTATAACGTTGTTGTTTTTTAAAACTTGAATTTTATAATCTTAAGCAATTTTTTACTAAGGTGATCAAAAATTAAGATGACAATGTAAGATATAGAAAAACAAAATACATTGAGTGGTAAAAATAAAATAAAAATGTCTTTAGACGTAATGTTATATGTATAAGTAAACTTTCTTAAAAATTAAAGAAGTTCAAGTCAAAAAGAAGTTTGATGAAAACTGTAATACTAAAGCGAACATGGGGAGGTAATCAGGTGCAAGACTAAGATATATATTCGTCTTCCTTCTAGGTTCATTGCCTTTTTTGGTTGAGGTTAAACATCGCCATGTTTTCAAATATCGCGATGTACGTCACGTTCTCTCCCCTCTTACCTAGTAATCGCTTCCTCTACCCATTGTTTACAACACGCTTACAAAGAAAAAATATCCCACCCTCTACTTGAGACATAAAATACAAAAGTGTATTGTGCCTTGTCGTCACAGGAAACAAAAACGGTAGCGTCTAATGTTGTTAACCCTTGTCTTCCTAAATTATTTTTTAACTTGTTAAAGAAATTGACTGTTTAGTTAAGGAATCTGACGCGAATTTTTTTCACAAGGGACGATACTCGTGTGTGTAGATAAGTCTGTTCTAATTTTAGAACAGTTGTCTTTCCTCTCGTTTCTCTATTAGGGAAGCCGTAAGGGGAAGACACGCGACACGTCTTTTAAAATGTAAACAACCGTGCACCGGGTACACTTAAAATAAACCCCGCTGCGAAAATGACAATGGCATGGTGACACTTTTTGGAAAACACGCTTTCATGTAAATAAAATAAGAGTCGCTTTTGTTGTCGCCATGATAATGTATACCTATAAGTTCTCTCCGCCATTACCGACCTAGTATGAATTTCGCGCGCGCGCGCATGTGTGTGTGTGTGTGTGTGTGTGTGTTTGTGTGTGTGTGTGTGTGTGTGTATGTATATCTCAAAAAAGCGTATCATGTCAACACCTGGGCAACAAGTCATAGTCAAAAAGGCCTAATTCATTACAGATCTATAGGAAATCCCTCTTTACATGTACTTACGTTAGGGGGAGTAAACTCATTTGAATAAAAAAACGTATTTAAATATATAGAGTTATAGAACCTTAACCCCGCATACCTACGTACCAACGCATCAAGTCGCCCTGTCGCCCATTAAAAAACACGAACCTACCGAGACTTCGTTTCGTCTCAAAACCTGACTTAACGGTGGTTGAAAGAAAATTCCGACCCTTAAATATATTTTTGTTTTCGCTGACCCTCGCTATAAGCGCATAGTTACAACCATTAATCTTTCATACATAGCAAGGGACGGTTCGCAGGACATGTGGAAACAAAATTTTTTAATTTGATCAAAGAATGACCGGGCGTACGATATGTGAACATAGTTCATGTACAGCTGTAGTCTAATGAAAAAAGCCGAGAGCCGTGACTAATTACAGCACCAGCTGTCGCCACACTTAACGCGGAGAGGGACTTAATGGTTTCGATTAATTACCTGTTGTGATCGCTTCAGTGAGTCCGCTATTAAGCAACCACGGGGAGCGCCGGGGAGGCTCACGGGCGGATCGATAAGTACAAGCTGTCGCTAATAAGTAACAGCTGTGGTTAAATGGATGTTATACACAATGACACTTTCTAGTACACGCTAGTGTTAGTCTTTTATTTCAAACGGCGTACAACAAAGAAATTAAAAGCAAACTAATTAAAATGAATTTCAAACAAATAAATTATACAAAGTAATTAAATTAAACAACAAGTAAACAACAATTAAAAATAAAATTTAAAAATAATAATTTAAAAAAATTTTTAAAATTTAAAAAAAATTAAAATCAAATTACGTAACTCGTTAATAATAATTAAACTAATTATAAAATTAAATTAAAAATTTAAAAATTTAAAAAATTAAAATCAAATTACGTAACTCGTTAATAAAATTACACATGACGTGGACCATCATACTGATGGTCAGTGGGTTCGATCAATATTAACTTGGCCCTTGTACGGTGGTTGACAAGAACAAAGGATCGCATGTGGATCGATACGTGTCGGGTGCCCTTAGCGAGTAACAGGTGTCTCTAATGGATGTTTGTAGTCGACATAAACCCACGATGCATGACCAAATTAATTAGGCGGACCATCATTTGATGGCTGTGTGTGGAATCAATATTAACGCGCCCGTTGTCCCGATGGCTCCGTGGGTGCGATCAATACATTCCCATTAAAAGCGCAGCGCGTGTCAACAAAGGATCACGGATCGATAAGTAACAGATGTGGTTAAATGGATGTTCTATTTTCGGTAACCGTTCGTTGTGTTGCTGAATGGTCCCTATACAAAGTCCACGCTAGTGTTAGTCTTTTATTTAAAACATACATACAAGCAAATAAACAAACCAACAAATTAAACAACAAAGAAAAGAAATATATTAAATAAACAAATAAACAAAGTAATTAAAATCAAATTACGTAACTAGTTAATAATAATAATTTAACTAATTATAAAATAAAATTTAAAATTTAAAAATTCAAAAAAATTAAAATCCAATTACGTAACTCGTTAATAATAATTAAACTAATTAAAAAAATAAACAAACAAAATATAAACAAAGTATTTAAATTCATTAAAATCAAACAAATAATTAAATTAAACAACAAGTAAACAACAAATTAAACAATTAAAAAAGTAAACAAATAATCAAATTACGTAACTAATTAAAAAATTAATTAAAATTTAAAAAACTCATTAAAACTAATTAAAAAACACATTAAAATTACGTAACTAGGTCAATGATTACGTCATAATGTTACTAATTACGTCACAAGGTCACCGGTGGTGACCTACTGACCTACTCCGCATCCGCATCCCCCACCCTAGGGTGGGTGAGTATTTTACTATATGCCTTTGCGCCTGCGGCTCCTTCACCCTCACCCACCTGCTCACCCAGGTGGGTGAGTATTTTACTATATGTCATTGCGCCTGCGGCTCCTTCACCCTGCGCCTGCTCCTTCACCCTCACCCACCCTCACCCCGGTGGGTGAGTATTTTACTATATCTCATTGTCCCGCCGGCTCCTTCACCCTCCGCCAGGTGGGTGAGTATTTTACTATATATCCTTTGTTCCGCATCCGCATCCGCATCCGCATCCGCATCCTGCTCACCCATGGCTCCTTCACCCATACGACCCAAAAGGGACCTAATATACTACTTGTAATATCTTACCATTCCCTACAGCCGTGTAATATCTTACCATTCCCTACAGACGTGTAATATCTTAAAATTCCCTACAGCCGTGTGATATCTTACCATTCCCTACAGCCGTGTAATATCTTACCATTCCCTACAGCCGTGTAATATCTTAAAATTCCCTAAACCCTTCTGATATCTTACCATTCCCTACAGCCGTGTAATATCTTAAAATTCCCTACAGCCGTGTGATATCTTACCATTCCCTACAGCCGTGTAATATCTTACCATTCCCTACAGCCGTGTAATATCTTACCATTCCCTACAGCCGTGTAATATCTTACCATTCCCTACAGCCGTGTAATATCTTACCATTCCCTACAGCCGTGTAATATCTTAAAATTCCCTACACCCTTCTGATATCTTACCATTCCCTACAGCCGTGTAATATCTTAAAATTCCCTACAGCCGTGTGATATCTTACCATTCCCTACAGCCGTGTAATATCTTACCATTCCCTACAGCCGTATAATATCTTACCATTCCCTACAGCCGTGTAATATCTTACCATTCCCTACAGCCGTGTAATATCTTACCATTCCCTACAGCCGTGTAATATCTTAAAATTCCCCACAGCCGTGTGATATCTTACCATTCCCTACAGCCGTGTAATATCTTAAAATTCCCTACAGCCGTGTGATATCTTACCATTCCCTACAGCCGTGCATGAACTCCTCATTAGGCAGGTAACACCTGTCAGGGTTGGTGAAGTCGCAGCAGCCGCACTGGTTCAAGGCCACACATTGACCTTGCTTGTTGACATACTGCCCCTCCGGACAGCCGCAGCTGTAGATGGTCTCCGGCTCGCAGTCCTTAAACAGGTGGTCGTTACAGTTGGCGTCGCAGACGTTGATCTTTCTTCTAGGGCAAGTCGTGTCCGCTGTTCATGGTGAAAACTGTTTTAGATTTCTGCACTGTTGCCTACGTTAAAATAATCTTAAGCAAGGTGTTTATATGGTAAATAAGAACTGTATGTGAGCATTGACCTAAGTAGTTCACTTTTGGGGAAAAGGTGCTCGTCTATAAATGAAGCAAGAATCCTACAGTGTAGGGGTTGGATATATTGATGATGTATGTACGAAAAGAAGGTGGGTGGAAGATGTGACTGTACTCAACTGCATTTAAAAAGTAATTTTAGAAAATGAATTTTTTTGTAGCAGTTATTTCTTGTACGTAGAGGTATTTTGGTAAAATTAAATGATCACTGTTCAAAATGTCACAAATTGTGACAGTTTGTCGATCGGAGGGGGTGAAATAAGAATCGTCAAAAAATCATGACGTCATTTTTCGACAACACTCAAATAATCTGTATAGCAGCAATATTTACATTCCTTAACAAAGACATATTTAAAAGCCTTCAACGCTAAAACAATTCAAAATTGGGACTATCAGTCTTTGATAGACGAAAAATATAAATATCTAAACGGGTATGAGAGTTATTAGAAAAAACCTTATTATATATATATATATATATATATATATATATATATATATATATATATATATATATATATATATATATATATATATATATATATATATATATATATATATATATACATATACATATATAACAGTTGTTTACAATCTGACCTTGACCCAAACTTAAGATAATTTCTGTAATCTCATTACTTAAATAATTAAATGTTTTACTTAAATCAAATTTCTGTATGAAACAGACGTACAGCATGAGCCTACGTCACTAAAGGCTGTTTGGAAGTTGATGTTGGCGGCAAAGGCAAACGACTGCAGGACGGCACATCGGACGACCTCGTTGGGGGCGTTGCTGCACATCTTGACGTAGCTGTCAAGGTCAAGCCTGGAGTTGGTAGGCAGACGGATGTTGTTGAGGGCGAAACAAACCGGATCCTGGGGAAACACGCAGCTTATGAGCTCATTCTTAGACTAAATTTATTGGAAACATTGTTCAGCTTTAAGCTTAAAGCCGTTTGTTCAATGTTTGATTTGTACTAGATCTATAGTGCAATACAGTTATTTAAAAACAAGTTGACTTCGATTTTTCGCAAACAAATAGTGAATGTGGATCATAAATCTGATTTCCACGGCGAGAAAACTTTACCAAAGTGAACTGTATCCACACATAATAAAAACTTTACAGAACAACAAGAAAACTTTACTGGTGTGGTCATAGCCTATTCAACCAAGAGAAAGCACGATCAGAAGAGTTTTCTTTGTAGACATTATAGTAAAAAAAACTTTATCAAAATATTTTACTAGAGAGAAATGTGGCCACATAGGAGAAAACTTTACCATCGAGAAAATTACCAGTGTGGGTTATGCTCAGCCAATACAAAGAATACTTTACCAAACACTAAGAAAACTTGACCAAAGTAGTGTGGGCAAATCCACTCTTGACAAAGTTTTATGGACAATAAGAAAACAACTTATGCAGATTAAACTTTACTCAAATAGAGAAGACTTTACCAACAGAGAGAAAACTTTAACAACTAAGGGAAATTCTACCAGCAAAATGAAAACTTTACAAATCAAGAGAAATCATTACCAACCAAGATAAAATCTTACCAGAAAAAAAGAAAACTTTTAAGCAAAGAGAAAACTTTACCAACAGAAAGAAAGCTTTAACCAACAAAAAGAAAACTTTACCAACAAAAAAGAAAACTTTACCAACAAAAAAGAAAACTTCACCAACAAAAAAGAAAACTTTACCAACAAAAATGAAAATTTTAACACGAGAACACTTTACCACCAAAAAAAGAAAACTTTACCAACAAAAAAGAAAACTTCACCAACAAAAAAGAAAACTTCACCAACAATAAAGAAAACTTCACCAACAAAAAACTTTACCGGGGTGGTCTGTGCCAGTTCCGAGTATACAGCCTCACGACATGTGGTGTACAGCTTGAGGAACTCGGAGCTCTCCATCACAGAGTTGGACGGCGACAAAAAGTCGTTGTCCTTGTTATTGTCCATATTGCCACATAGACCCAGGACCTGAAACAAGAGTTAGACGGTGGTGTTAACTTGCTTTAAGAATAAATGAATAAAAACATGTTTTCGTTACAGCGAGAGTTAGACGTTAGTGTAAACTTGCTATAAGAGTGAATGAATAAATACAGTTTTTTGTTATAGTAGATTATGCATAATTTAATATCAAACAATAATGTTTTGCCTTGCATTTAAACTAATTTTAAATGAACAAAGACTTACTTTGCCTCTAAAACTAGTAGTCTTCATCTTCAAGTACAGAGAACCATCACGAAACAGATACATGCGAATTTTTCCGCCATTGATGTCAATAACAAAAGTATTTTTAGCCACTTGCCTGAGATGTAATACAAATCTTTGCTTTATTACCTTTCTCTCAAAACTATGTTAATTACTTCAAACATTAAAACTGTTTTCAATTAAAAGTCAATGACAGTTAAAATCCACGTGTTAGCATTCATTTTTATGTATCTTTTCGAACCTGACTATCAATGGGGCAGGTGAAGTAGAGGTCACCTGTTTCTATGACCTCGGTGGATGGAGGTATACTGTGGTCAGCACTATGCCCAGCTGCCTTTAATTTCCCTTACGTGAATTCAGATATCCATCAAAAATGTATCACAATGTTGAGGTTATGATCTCAGAACAATGTCTTTGTTAATGATACATTGAATATATAATGCAATAAAACAGAACCTACCTAATGTTGATCCTAGGAGAAAAGCCGTTTTCTATTTGCGAGGAAGATTTGGAGACTTCCAGTCTGGACTTGATGCCCTGGTACTCAACATTGACAAAAGACGGAGTGATGTTTTCTCCGTTCTCGTCAGTACTGCTGGACAGTGTCCCAAACACGATCTTTAGGTCTTGACCCTGTGCATATAACGTACTCTTTATGATGAACAAAATTGTTTATAATCCTAACTTCAAGTTATGTAGGGGCCAAATTATTCAACTTTATTTATAACCCTTTTAACGTTTGGGAATTAGACGAGATACACACACGGATAATAAGCCTAACTATAGGATTTGAGAATGTTGGCAAGGATAATCCCGTTGTAAATGATTTAAAAAGGTTAGTGATATGGGCGAGGGTAAACTAAAGTTGTCGATCTAAACTACAAGATTTAGGCAAGATTAAAAGTAAGGCTTGCATGTATACTTAATAATAGGATCTAAGTACCCAGATGACTACATTGTTCAACAACTTCAGCGATTTACTACCAAGGCGAGTATAGATATACATCGTTCTAGCATAGAACAATACCTCAGCTAACATAAGCTCCACGCAAGTTTTACTGGAGCTAATTTAAGATTTCCTAAGCAAACAGCTTACCTGAGCTAACGTGAGCTCCCCGCAAGTGTTCTCAGCTTACCTGAGCTAACGTGAGCTCCCCGCAAGTGTTCTCAGCTTACCTGAGCTAAGGTGAGCTCCCCACAAGAGTTCTCAGCTTACCTGAGTTCTCAGCTTACCTGAGCTAAGGTGAGCTCCCCTAAAGAGTTCTCAGCTTACCTGAGCTAAGGTGAGCTCCCCTAAAGAGTTCTCAGCTTACCTGAGTTCTCAGCTTACCTGAGCTAACGTGAGCTCCCCTAAAGAGTTCTCAGCTTACCTGAGCTAAGGTGAGCTCCAATAAAACTCTCAGCTTACCTGAGCTAAAGTAAGCTCCCCACAAAAGTTCTCAGCTTACCAGAGCTAAAGTGAGCTCCCCGCAAGTTCTGAGCTTACCTGAGCTAAAGTAAGCTCCCCTAAAGAGTTCTCAGCTTACCTGAGCTAAGGTGAGCTCCAATCAAACTCTCAGCTTACCTGAGCTAAAGTAAGCTCCCCACAAGAGTTCTCAGCTTACCAGAGCTAAAGTGAGCTCCCCGCAAGTTCTGAGCTTACCTGAGCTAAAGTAAGCTCCCCACAAGAGTTCTCAGCTTACCAGAGCTAAAGTGAGCTCCCCGCAAGTTCTGAGCTTACCTGAGCTAAAGTAAGTTCCCCACAAGAGTTCTTAGCTTACCTGAGCTAAAGTGAGCTCCCCACAAGAGTTCTCTATCCCGAACATCCGTCCGTCGAACGTCCTGACGTAGCTGCCGCCCAGGACGGTGCAGGTGGACGAGCACCTGTCTGGGCTCTCACTGCACTCCCACAGGCCCAGGTGTCCACATTTGCTGGCATGGAAGGGTGACATACACATAAGGTTTTCATAGACACATATCACTACTGATTGATCAAGTACCATACACATACTGTTTTGATAGACACACACATATGACTACGGATTGATCAAGTACCATACACATAATGTTTTGATAGACAAATACATATGACTACGGATTGATTGAATATGACCTCTATACTTTTTGATATACACGAACACATAACAGCTAATTGATCAAATATCATACACATAATGTTTTGACACATGTATACATCTAACTACTTGGACATTCAAGTGTATCATACTTTCAAACACTGCACGAATACAAAGAAAAATGAGTCTATAGAAATGAAAAGCAGTATGGCCTCATTTCTGTGAAAACAGTGCTCATTAAAATTAATATTGGCAATATGGCAAGCTTGTATAGAGTATTGATGTGACATGTCTGAATACTAGAATACAAATGTTTCTGTAACGCCCTAGCATAAAACTGTGCACTATTCTAACATGCGATTGAAAATTTAAAACACATATTCTCGTGATTTAGTTTTTGAACATAGTTCGTTTGTGCTTTAAACATTCCAACATCATTCCTGAAACTTCCTCAAAGTAGCCTACTTACAGACTACAACAAAATATTGAATTTTGTAGTGTAAAAGTGTGTAATAAATTTAAGAAATTCTTTAATTTGACACATATTAATTCACAGTAATCATTATTATGTATGAAAAACATTACAATATAATATGCACGTGTTTAAATATATTTAAAATTATGTGTGGCCCTTTTTTGTACGGAATTTTATTTCCCATGTGAAGAAATCAGATTTGTTAGTTTTATTCAGCGTAAAACACACTCACTCAATCCAATCCAATTTTTTGGGAACTCACCAGGTTTTACAGTGGTCTCCAGACTCAATGACGTCACCATTGTTGTAGTACCGCCCATCGTCCCCTTTACACTGACAAGCGTCAGGTGCGACACATGTGTTGTTGATCCTAGCTTGACCTTCCGGACACTCACACCCCCCGTACGGCTGAGTACGGCACGAGCTTCTTGTGTAGGAGTAGAGTGAGGCTCCGCAGGTCAGTGGACACTTGTTGACGATCAGACCATTAAACTGGAACGGCTGGTTGCACGTTTTCGCTGAGAGTATATATATATATATATATATATATATATATATATATATATATATATATATATATATATATATATATATATATATATACATATATATAAATTCAGACAAAAATCACGATCGGGGTGATCATCTTGTAGCGTATTAATTCTTCTTCTTCTTCGTTCTTAATTTTAGTGTTGGGAGGATCCCCTACAACACAATTAATGCTATGTGTCAACTGGTTATGCGCCATTGAGGCCATTGCCTCCGATATCAGCCTGCTTTTCTTTTTGGATTTGCTTCCATAGCCTTTGTCCAACCGAGAACAAACTACAAGGCAGCAGTTGTTTGATTTTGAAGTTTTCTCTCTTAGAAGAGTGGCTGTTCCCAGCTAACGAGCCTCATCTGCCAGAGGGCTCAAACTCGAGACTTCTCGGTTTAGCAACCATGAGCTTAACCGACTCGACCACGCCGACCCATTAGCGTATTAATTAATTTACATAAATTGCAGTATAATAATTCCACAATAATGTGTTGCTATACTATAGACTGTGTAACAAAAACCACGTATTAATGTGGTACCAGTCATCTAAGACTTATGACAGTAAAACATGACGACACAAACAGAGTTTGACGTACGACAGAGGGACGAGGTTCTCCAGGCTATAGCCTCCCCTGATATCATGCTGCAGACCTTGTGGTAGGTGGACAGGACATTGCACACGGCCTTGGTGGCAGCCTCCACTCCCCCGGCACTTAAAGACGTGCAGTAGGCTGACCGGCACCTCTCTGTGTAGAAGTCCACGTCCACCTGAACAGGTTGTGGACATTGTATTAAGGTATGCACTCACACGAGGAGGCACATTTATTGTGCAGTTTAATAGTCTGACTAAATGCTGATAAAATGAAAAATAATTTTGTTCCGGGAAAGAAAAAGTAGTAGTTTAGTAACGCAGTGCATTATGGTTGTGATGAAAGATAAGGAAAATTTGAAGCACTCCCATTTAATAAGAAGATATCAGTCAATCACACTATTTAGACACTCAGTGTTGTTTCAGTGTCTTAACCAGACTAAGGTACAGATAATCACACGGGTTTTGTTATGATATAATGTGATGATAAATGTGAAGTACTCACGGACCATGACACAGTGGTTTATTTATGATAAATGAGATGATAAATATGAAGTTCTCAAGAAAGATAGGCACAGTGATTTAGTTATGAAAAAATGTGATGATAAATGTAAAGTGCTCACGAACGAGTAGTACAGTGCAGAGGTTTAATTTTGACAAATGGGATGAAAAATGTGAAGGACTCACAAACGAGTAACAGAGAGGCTTAGTTATAATAAAATGAGAGAATAACTATAAAGTAGGCCTACACACAGACGAATGACAAAGTGGTTTAGTAAAGATAAAATAAGATGATAGTACTCACGGACGAATGGCACCTGTAGAAGACGGTCGTGAGAGCCTGACACGCTTCACTAGCTTTTGCTGTGGCATCGGGTGTGGCACATTTAAAGATTCCTTTGCCGCACTGAGACAGTTACAGGGGTTAATGCGTTATTTGTGTGTTCAAGAATTAGAAACATTAGCACTTTACTCAAGTGATTACAGAAAAAATCAATATAGGTCTACTCAACGATGGGTGCTTAAACAAGATATTTAAAAAATTAAATAATATGCAATCTTTATGGAGCAATTCAGTTGGCTATTGTAATTAAAAAATTAAAACTGCGCATAATATTCTACACTTGTTGTAATATGTAAATATGATTACCAGTACTGAAATTTAAAAATAATGAGATGTAAAAATTCTGAACTTACTGGAAGGTTTGGGTTGCTGTACAGTTCAAAGATTCTCTGAGCTCCCATTGGGGTTAGGAGTCCAAACTCATCTAGAGATGAAATAGTTCTGTAAAAATCTCTTTTGGTGGAATACGATACAGGACATTTTAAACGATACAAATGAGGACGCAATCCCTATGAAAAATAGTGCTGACATCTGAAGATACAGCATCGTTGGTGTAATAAACCCCTTCAGACACCTAGAACCTTCTGTAACACGATAATATTCCACATCGTCACTTAAACAATGTCGGGGGAATTGAAACACGGGAACTCTACTTCAACTGCTCCACTGATCGTAATGTTTGAAAGGGTACTTTACTTTTAATATATATATATATATATATATATATATATATATATATATATATATATATATATATATATATATCCTGATAAAACGCCCCCACTGACTAAATAAAGCGACTGTTACCATCCGAATAGCCATCCATGTCCCCACAGACTCCAGCAATACTGCCCACCAGTATGGAGTTTTTCTTGATGGTCAGCATAAGGGTGCCGTCAGCCTCAGCCCGGATCTCCACACCCAGGGAGATGAAGCTCAGGTAGATGGTCTTCACGTCATGATCCATTTTCCAGATCAAATTACCTGTGGACACACCAAACCGTGGTAATAGCTATACAATCTAATTCTACGACACACAGGCTCAGCTTTACGTTTCATGGAGTCACAAGATTGTGATGATGTGTTGGGGAGTAGGGTGGTTATAGGTTCCTCAACATTAACTTGTATTTATTTTTAAAAATAATTGATGAAAAACAATTGATGCTAATTTTCCTGAGATCTATAATTTAATAAAGGGATATTATGATAAGGAATAAGAAGTATATATGTGGAAAGGGAGTGACAAAATGACTTAAGAGTGTGTAGTTTTTACTCAAGGGAACCCATAACCCATAAAAGAAACAAGCAGTACCATTCTTATCCAAAGCCGTTGGGGTTTTGTCTGGAAGTTTGGCAGCGTCATAGCTGTCTGTTGTTGTACCGTCTGCCACTGTTAATATCGTCCCCTCCAGGGTGTAGGTGTAGGTTGGTTCGCCGTGTAGGATTATTGTGATGATCTGAAAGCATTGTTTGTGTTATATTGCAGTTAATAATAGATTAACACTTTCGCCTGCTTCTAGTTCTAGATTAAGCTATTCCTTTGAATAGAAATTTCAATGTATTTAATGGCCTTATTTTTTATTTGGTGTGATGGCGTGGTCGAATGGTAGAGCTAGATGGAAGTCTCAAGCTCTGATATCGGTTCGAACTTGTGGTTAAATGACGTCCATGAGCCCACCCAACTCTGAGAAATACTAAACTTACTTCGGGAAAGTAAAGGCAGCTGGGCATAGTGCTGACCACACTATCCATTCATAAGTCGAGGTCGAGAAATTTTCTGAATTCTACTAGATCTGCCGCCTAGATGATCGCTAGGTTTAAAGAGGAATTTTTATGTTTCTAGATTCCTTATCTTCTAGATTCTGCTATGCCCTACATCGTTTTGATAGATATACCTAGACCCTGTTCTGCTTTACTGTGTAGAGACGCTTTCTTATGCTCCATATTCCTTCAATTTACAGTGGTGTATTCTAGACCCAATATTGGTACAGATAATAGAGCGATATGCCTCAACCCCCACCTTATAGCACGTATGCTACAATGTATTCTAGACCAAATATTTGCACAGATAATAGAGCGATAAGCCTCATCCCCCCATCCACCTTATAGCACGAGCACTCGTCTAGAGGATCACACTCTGTCACGGTGTAGATGTCGATGGTGGGCGTGACCAGAAGACCAACAGCACACAGCGTGCTGTACTTGAACAGCACATTGTCGAACGTGCGGTAGATGTCATCTCCAGATGTCATGCAGGTGGCGCTGTCCAGGTTGTTGACATACTTGACAGTTTGGGCTGAAAGGTGAAAAAAGTTTATTTTAAACGCTGTTATATGTGTGCTGTTGGTTATATATGTGCTGTTGGTCATATGTGTAATGTTGGTCATATGTGTATTGTTGGACATATGTGTGTTGTTGGTCATATGTGTGCTGTTGGTCATATGTGTAATGTTGGTCATATGTGTGTTGTTGGACATATGTGTAATGTTGGTCATATGTGTGTTGTTGGACATATGTGTAATGTTGGTCATATGTGTGTTGTTGGTCATATGTGTGCTGTTGGTCATATGTGTAATGTTGGTCATATGTGTGTTGTTGGACATATGTGTAATGTTGGTCATATGTGTGTTGTTGGTCATATGTGTGCTGTTGGTCATTGTGGTACCGTGAACTTAAGTAGAGGAGCAGGAAAGTAGCCTGAATATCTGAAATAGTTTTATTTTAAGATGGTCTGACGGAATATTTGTTTTTAATATCTGATTTTAAAGTTTATATTGAACATGCTATATTTGAGGTTTAAAGTTTAGTTAAAATTCAAAATAATCAGTTCATTAAAGTCGTTTACAGAATATGTGTTTGCGTTAATGCTATAAAACATGTTTTTTGTTAACTAAAACAAATTTGAAATATAATAATTTTGGGTTTAAAACAAAAACAAATAATTTGAGCACGGGAAAGTGCCAGGTTTAGTGTTTTTTGTTTGCCTAGTTGGGCTACAATGAACAAATCCATATGCAGTGATGTGTTTGGGGAGGGGAAAACCTACTTGGGCTACAAGGAACACAGCCATATTAAGTGAAGTGTATGTGGAGGTGTGGGGGAACAACCTACTAGGGCTACAAGGAACAAACTCATATGAAGTGATGTGTGTGTGTGAGGGATGAGGGAACCTACTTGGGCTACAAGGAACAAACTCATATGAAGTGGTATGTGTGTGTGAGGGGTGAGGGAACCTACTAGGGCTACAAGGAACACATCCGTATGCGGTGGTCTGGCTGCCCCAGGAACCAGAGAAGCCGTCCACACAGCACCTAGAGATCTCCATAGCAGCCAGGCTAGTCAGGTTACCCTGGCAGTTATTGCCCCTGTAGCAGTACATCAGGCCGCTCTTCAGTGCTGAAATAGAGGAAAGTTGGTTTACAGTAATATCTTGTGGTATTAGTACAGTGGAGTTGCTTTCAGACATTTATCACTGAAAATGGTGGTGGGGGGGGGGGAGACAATTGAAACTTTCGTGGATGGCGCGGGTTTGAATTTCCGGGGGGTCGGATGTTGATTGCTGTATATAAATATATATTCTATACAAATTCGTTCAGATGGGGAGGGGGGAATAGACGGGCGGTAGGCGTGCTTCTCTTCCCCCCCCCTACCCCAACCCACGAAAAATCTGCAGTAGTCTTGTTTACAGTTAAGTTTTGTGTTTACATCAGTGTCCTGAAATAATAATAAGCGTTTGGTTATATTTTTTTTAAAAATTTACTTGCTAGAGCGCACGACTCTTGCCCCAAAACTCTCGAGTGCGGTTCCCGGGCTCGAGTCTGTACAAATTCCACCCAGCCCTAATGGGTACCTGACTCACGTTAGCGCAAGTAAAGGCGGCTTGGAAAAGAACACTGATTTTACATAAATAAATGGACTACTCCATCTACCTTACTGGCCACCGTGTTCTAAAGTGTCACACAAAATTTAAGTAAAACATTTTTTAAAAAAATCACAATTTTGAAAGCTCTTTAAATTATTGTTAATAAAATACAAATGGGTTTATTTCATGTCTTGTATTTATCTACTTACTGTCTAGATTTTCTTCACAGGCCCGTCCAGTGAAAGGACTAGGACAGGCACATTTGGGCAGTGCTGTGTCGTAGGTCTCTGTCTCGACACACTGGCCTCCATTGACACACGGTGGGCTGCACACGGCTGCACAACACACCAAGATGCACTCATTAATGCACAATACTTGTTAGTGGTAATTAAGGTGATTTATGGTAATTTAACGGGCTTTAAGGTAACTTAAGGTGCTTACCATAACTCGAGGAATGTGGTTTAAAATGTATTGACTTTAAAAATAATTGTTTGACGTGTTGAATGATTTTGACTTTGAAAATGTTGTTTTAAACATGGATGTTATTATAGGGCTAAACATATAAGATTATATTTCTTACGTTGGTTGCAGTTTTCGCCAGTCCAACCTTTACAGCAAATTGTCTTTGGGACGCTTTGAGATCTGGATAATAAATGTATTGCTTAAATATTTTCATATTACATAAAAAAATTATATGAAACGTACCATCGATTAAAACACTATTTTAATTAAATAAATGAAGCAAGGTGTTTGAAAACAAACCTCTGGTAGAGGCACATGGCGGTGGGGTTGACAAGGTCCGGCACGTCTGATCCGTCCGCGGCACCCAAGAACGATATCCGGGTGGTCTCAGAGGTCATCGTGATCCACTTGATGATTTCGTTACAGGGGTGAGTCTCCGTCGTGTGCTGGTCTTCGTTGATGGTGCACACGTGTCTGCTCCAGATAAAATAAAACGTCCGGGTTTATCGTTTATGGAATACGGGTCTTTTTCAGAAAACAAACATTTTGGTTTATGGGTATGGGTCTTCATAAAAAAACAAAGAATATGGTTTATCGTTTATTAAATATGAGCGTTCTTCAGAAGAAGAAAAACCATTCTGGTTTATGGCACACGAGTCTCCGTCACAAAGAAGCCATTCTGGCTTTTGTTATTTACATGTCTGCTCTATAAAGCTGGCATTCTGGCCTATGTTATTTGAATGTTTACTACATACAGCAAATATTCTGGCTTGTAAAGTATTTCAAAAATCTTTTCTAATTGGCACTAGATGATTATAATTGATTGCAATTTCAATCAGATGTTAGTGAGATGGTGGCCCCAGACAAAGTTTTGCCTACATTGTTTTTATTATCTAAAAAAAATCTCTCTGTTTCGTACACATCTTTTGGGACTTGTTATTTACCAGATCCAAAACTAATACCCGCTCCCCTGGTTTAAAATATTTAAAATAGGACCACTACCATCATATTATACACAAACTAGCCTTTTAGTAATATATTACATATGCGAGTGTATTATTTTTGCTTATTCATCTTTTTATTCTAGTTACCAGACATTTTGAAAAAAAAAAGTATTCAGAAAATCAATTTTAAATAACACGCGCAAACTTTATATAACTTTATATAACAAATAACACATTACTTTATCGCCTAATAGCTTTATAGAATATGGTTACGGTCCGTTAATCAATTGTTCCTGTAGCAATGGAATATAGTTTACCTCAGTGATTACAAGAACTGAACATTTGACTAAACCGTTCTAGGAGACTGAGAAACATCAATATTTGTAGTGGATATTTTTTATTTCAAAATTTCATACATTTCATTTATATTCTATTACACTTATAATTAGGGTTAGGATTAAGGTACAGATATTATAAACGGTTCAATGTGTGATATGGTCTCTAAACTGTACTGAATGTCAAATTTAAAATTACAATTATAGTTTTAAAAACTGACTTTTACAAAGAATAATTTTCACAGTACTTAGCAATACAGAACATAAATGTTATTGTCATTATTTTAAAAATTATTGAAGTATTTTTATTTGGCGTAAGTTTAAGATCGGTTCTATGAACTTCAGTGCATTTATGAGTAAAAAAAATGTGAAAAAATAATAAATAAAGAAGTTAAAGTATAATTCATCTTTCAATATTTTGGTGAAATTTTTGGCTACTGCAACGACTAGCATACGCAAGGAGAGACTTATGAAAAAGTAACAATAGGGTCTGTGTTTAGGAAACGGTTTTGTATCATTAGGCATTTAATCCAGAACAATTCAAGCTCCTAACTGTTGATCAAATGTTGCAAATATAGTTGCTCACCTTACGAAAGTATTGCAGTTTAGTGTTGTGTACCGTGAACAAGTGTGTCCGTTGAAAGATATTTAAATCCAAGGTTAGATCCGCTTATATAGCTAACAATTGTAAGATGCTGGATCTTACGGATCTTTCGAGAATAGTCTCGGATAGTCCATTAAATATTTTTTAAATAAATGTAGTTATACAAACTTTATTGTGAGATTTGTGTCGGACTTTACTAACAATTGGATTCATTTAATGTTTTAGTATTTTTGAGAACAAAAATAAATAAATAAACAAATAAAACAAATACCAAAAACATTTTTTTCTTCATTCCCCATTTCTCACTGAAAATGTAACTAAACGTGGCATAACCAAGTCATGCGGTAAGAAAAAGTAAAATTTTTATTAACAACTTTCATTGGTAACGTTTTGAGCACAAATTACTCAAAAGGGGTTTTCAGAAAATCGAACACTGATCTTCATTACAACCAATCAATGTTTGCCATGCTAAAGTAAAATTTCAGGCTGTAATTTAGGCTTGATGAAAAAAAAAATTGAAATGTAGCCTTAAACTCTAAAATAAATATTTTTAGGTTCTTTACGTGTGCAACTATTATAGTCCCGGTTTCTTAAAATTTTAAACTTCTGAAATTGTGATTAGGCTTAACATTAAGTTTATGATTTATTTATGTTTTTACATCCACTATGAAGTGAAAAATGGACAAAAAACACTTTGTTTTCTAATGCTACGCTAATTATTGCCAGTGGCTAGATCTAGTTAAAACAAAGCTAATTATTGCAATTGGCTAGATCTAGTTATAATTCCTAGTAATGACAGTGTGATTACAACGCTAATTATCGCCAGTGGCTAGACCAGGTTTTAACGCTAATAAATACCAGAAGTTAGATTTTATTATAATGCCATGTAATGTCTGATAACAGGACTAGTCATGGTATATCGGAGGCCAGATTTGTTATACGGCAGTAAGTTCATCTGTTTTTTAAGACCAAGGCACATGAAGAAGTTTTGAACAGCGTTGTTTTACTCTGTCAATTCCATTACAAAACTAAACAGAACTTACATCCCTAATTAGTAATCTGATTATCTAATTAGTACCACTGGACAGGTCAGCCTGCGGACGTAGACCTACCCGGCATTGGCTGACGTCACGAAGGTCAAAAGCCACAGAGTTATCCCCAGCAGAGTGATGGGTATTCTCCCCTTGTTTGCCATTCTTGGCGACGGCACAAAGCCTCTTGTTCTGATGCTGTCGTTGAGATCTTATCTAGCAGTGTTCAAGACTCGTACACCAAACTTCACAAAAAATACTCAGAAATTCTCACGACTCTCAGAGCTAGAAGCTCTCTAGCCCTCAATACGATACAACTCTCTTTATATACCATCCTAAATTCCTTAAGATACGCCCATTCAAATATCTTTACACAGGCTATAAAGATATCTACTCATCAATACATTACAATCCACCATTTTGAGCTCACCCAGTAAGAAAACCTATATAAGATACTCTCTTGTACGTCCGCTCATGTTATCAGTAGCAATAATTCTAGATTGATAAAAAAAAATTCTCTTTAAGACAGGATTAGTTTCGTAGGCTGATTGATTGAATTTATTGTCACAAGCAGATTGATTAAATTTATTGTCACTTTCAAGAGATTACTGGAGTTATGGCCTTTTTGGCAAATACCAGCTGCCTCTGTTGTTTAACCTGGCCAAAGGTTGGAGCCAATGGGATACACTTCGTCTTCTGCGCAGTATTTTTTTACCACATTCTACAATTTTTTTCATCAGTAAACAATATGTATCTTACTTTTTAACAAAGTTTTTAAACAATAAAATGATAACTATTAAAATTAGGTTTCAACAATCAATTTAGTTATGTGTAACGACAATCACTTTTCGGTAAATACATTAAAAACAGTTTGTTTTGCAACACTGCAATGAGAAATGGTAAATATAAAACATATAAGTATGTATATGGCTGGTCATAGAGTTATGATCTACTGGACGCTCGACACTAGTTATAGGCAAGTCTTCAGTAAGATGGTGTAAATCTCCGTGCTGGAAATTGGCAAGATGAAAGATGGTGTAAATCGGAGCCGGACGTTGTCCCGAAAGACACTTGCCCGAATGCAGTTTGTCTCATTCGGGCAAGTGACCATTCTGGAAAACGTCCTTCAGGCAAATGGCTTTCGGGAATTAGTCGTAGACCCGTGTAAATCACTGTGCTAGCAGTGTTTCTTCCAGACTTTTTTCTCCGGGGGGGCACTTGAAATCTTCGGGGGGGCGGTAAACTTTCTTCGGGGGGGGCGGACACTGTTAAAAGTATATATTTTCTATATAAATTATATAAATTTCATTTCGTTCGGGGGGGGCGGTAAAAAATTTTCGGGGGGGCTTCGCCCCCCCGAAGAGATGCCTGGAAGAAACTCTGTGTGCTAGCACCTGGCAGGATGATGTAGTGGTCGCGTAAGATGGTATTGTCAACATTTAGTATGTGTAGTGGTCGCGTAAGATGGTATTGCCAACATTTAGTATGTGTAGTGATTGCGTAAGATGGTATTGCCAACATTTAGTATGTGTAGTGGTCGCGTAAGATGGTATTGCCAACATTTAGTATGTGTAGTGATTGCGTAAGATGGTATTGTCAACACTTAGTATGTGTAGTGATCGAGTAATATGGTATTGTCAACATTTAGTATGTGCAGTGATCGCGTAAGATGGTATTGTCAACATTTAGTATGTGGAGTGGTCGCGTAAGATGGTATTGTCAACATTTAGTATGTGCAGTGATCGCGAAAGATGGTAATATCATGTTATGTGTATTGACATAATTTGAGTCCATTTTAGAGTTTTTGTCTGCAATAACTTGTATATTGTGCCTTTTATTGGATGTGTGTGCTTGTTTCGTTTGCAGCTGGCACTAAAAGTTTTGTGTAACATTTGCTACCTCGTCTGTCCCCCACCATAGTAAACCAGCTTTGTTCTCCGACGATTTGGGTGTGTGTATGTGTGTGTGTGTGTGATCGTTTGCTACTAGCATTACATATTTCTTGAATTACTCCCCACATCATCCACCAACCCCTTCCCCATAGCCAACCAGCTTTGTCCCCCGATGGTTGGCATGCTACATTTCCAGCTCAAATCCACATTTTTTTTATTATACACTGCCAGATCAAATCCACATTTTTTTTATTATACACTGCCAGATCAAATCCACATTTTTTTTATTATACATTTCCAGCTCAAATCCACATTTTTTTTATTATACACTGCCAGATCAAATCCACATTTTTTTTATTATACACCGCCAGATCAAATCCACATTTTTATTATACACCGCCAGATCAAATCCACATTTTTATTATACACCGCCAGATCAAATCCACATTTTTATTATACACCGCCAGATCAAATCCACATTTTTTATTATACACCCCAGATCAAATCCACATTTTTATTATACACCGCCAGATCAAATCCACATTTTTATTATACACCGCCAGATTAAATCCACATTTTTATTATACACCGCCAGATTAAATCCACATTTTTATTATACACCGCCAGATCAAATACACATTTTTATTATACACCGCCAGATCAAATCCACATTTTTAATACACCGCCAGATCAAATCCACATTTTTATTATACACCGCCAGATCAAATCCACATTTGTATTATACACCGCCAGATCAAATCAATGATACCAATCAGGCGCAGCTGATGTTTTACTAATCAACCAGCTAAAGATATTTTTATGAAGTCTAACATTTGTCTTTAATACGATTATATATTTCAATTTAAATTAATGGGCTCAGGCAAAGAACTCCTATTTCGATTATCTGAATCGTGAAGCAATCGGTTCAAATCCATCACAGCTTTTTACAAACTTGCACTCTGCATTCATCTAAGTCCATTCTACATTCTCTAGTTACTCTATTATTTGTATAAGCTTTCTTTTTCCCCCAACTAGTTACAACCTATTAACATTCTACGTTCTCTAGTTACACTATAATTTGTATAAGCTCTATTTTGTCCCCAATTAGTTACAACCTCTTGACTTTTCTTCTAATTTATTTAATAATCAGCACTGCAGCAAGTTCTGTATCCCTTTATATTGCAATAATTAGCTTCGTCTATTATTAATATCTAGTACATTATTCTATAGACACACAACATCGTCGATGATAATTAATTGACATTTTTATGCTCGCCTTTCACGCACCAACCTGCTCTGACTTTAAGGACAACATTTGTGTAGTTCTACTTTCATGATCTGAACTTTGGGACATCATTTTTGTGTTCTACTTTCACAATCTGACTTTAGGGACAACAAATGTTTAGTTCTACTTTCACGTTCTGACTTTAAGGACAACAATTTTGTTCTACTTTCACGTTCTGACTTTAAGGACAACATTTTTGTGTTCTACTTTGACGATCTGACTATAGGGAGAACATTTTTGTGTTCTACTTTCACGTTCTGACTTTAAGGACAACATTTGCTTAGTTCTACTTTCACGTTCTGACTTTAAGGACAACATTTGCTTAGTTCTACTTTCACAATCTGACTTTAAGGACAACAATTGTTTAGTTCTACTTTCACGTTTTGACTTTAAGGACAACATTTTTGTGTTCTACTTTCACAATCTGACTTTAGGGAGAACATTTTTGTGTTCTACTTTCACAATGTAACTTTAGGGACAACATTTTTGTGTTCTACTTTCACGTTCTGACTTTCAGGACAACATTTTTGTGTTCTACTTTCACGTTCTGACTTTAGGGACAACATTTGTTTAGTTCGACTTTCACAAGCTGACAACATTTGTTTAGTTCAACTCTCATGACCCAACCTTCTCTGACTTAAGATGTTAACACCAGATGACGTCGTGTGTCGCAGCCCAGACACCGTCTGTTACAGTCTGGGCCACCATTTAAATTCTTTTATTTTGAATTTTAAAATGTCAAACGTAATACATCAATCGAAAACTGCATAGCTTGTACATTTGAAAATTTTGTCGCAAATTCTTTTTTTCTACAAAGAACAGTGATGTTATGTCTTTTCTTTTACTTTAAAAGATAACAATACATTCATGCCGGTTATTGTTATCTGACGTCAGCCCCCCCCCCTCCCCCATTCCCCCCAACGATTCTACTTACATTATGGCGCCAATACTTGACTGATTTTTCCTGTGTTAAATTATCAATATTTGCCATTTTGATTTATTATATCGGCTGAGCGACATTTAATCTTTTTAAATGTTAGTTATAGCTCATGCAGCAAGTCGAGTAATTTCCTTTTGGTGAAGTTTAGCTTTTACAACAAAAACTTTACTTAGAGAAATTCAGAGTTTTTTTTAATGCATTTGTAAGACTAGAAAACAAGATATATCTTATTCTCACTGTTAACCTATCTTATTATGGAGATGCTTTTCGTATAATAAAGTACATACGGAGATTTTTTTTTGTTTATTTTGTTAACTTTATAGCTACTGGAACGTTTCAACCGACTCTGATAAACAAGATGAAACTAGATGGCTCCATAGTCTGATAGACGATTGGATAGTTGCGTCATGGAGTTCAATGCGCAAGGCCATCCTGGGCAGCCCAGATGTTGCCCCCCCCCCCTCTCCACACAGATGAATTACAGTGTTTCTTCCAGCCTTTTTTTCTCCGGGTGGGGGGGGGCACTTGAAATTTTCGTTGGGGCGGTAAACTTTTTTCGGGGGGCGGGGGGGGGGGCGGACACTGTTAAAATTATATATTTTCTATATAAATTTCATTTCGTTCGGGGGGGGGCGGTAGCGATGCCTGAAAGATACTCTGATTGCTCAAGGGAGAGGCGTCACCTACAAAACTTGGCATCAGCTTTGTCGCTACTTCTGAAAGGAAACAAGAGTTGGGTTATCCTATCGCCTATTGTGTTCTATTCCTGTTTGATTTATCACAGAATGCTGTCCACACCTATCGAGCCTTATCTGTCCTGAGGTTCGAACTCGGAACGTTACCAGTAAAGGTCACTTGTCAGAGCGCAATAGTTCCTAGGTGGACTTCAACGGTCACGTGTTTGTGACAAAGGCGAGCCACTTAGATTGAGGCATCCGGTCGTGGTCAGGTATGGAGGGGTGGGGACCGCCATGTGACACTTAGCCCTAGACACACTACAAATCTGTGGTACCCAAACAACCATCAAAGTTCAAGGGATAAATAAATAAATTAATATATATTTAATTGGATAATACGCCATAATAAGCTAGTAGATGTGATTTGTTGCTGTTACTTTTTTACTATACATCATCAATATAAACTCTTCTCCATTACGATACAG